TTGTTTACATGTTTCATCATTAAAACATTCTCGATCTTTTTGTGTACTTTGATAATCAATAAATGAATTTGAATAACAATAATCTATTGATTTTCGTGCATAAAATAACTGATTTTTCTTTTCTTCGAATTTAATATAATCAATTGATTGTATATAACGAGCATTTTTATATATATTCATATATATTTCATAACTAATATCTGTTAATTTAGCTGGTCGTAATCGACAAATTTTTAATTCACATGAACCACTAACACCATGACAATTACATTCTTTATGCATCATATTTTTAACAATCTATTTAAAATAATAAATTAAAGATTAAGTTTTTTTTTCTCATGTATATTCGTTTTACCTGTCGTCCAAGTTCTTTATTAGCTTGATTAAGTTTATATAAAAACTTTTCATGAAAATATTTCGACATATTTAAACCATCTGTTATTAAATATGCTAATTGAAAAGTTATATTTGGATCTGTTTGACATAATTGTCGATTATTTAAACATAAACAATTTGAATCATTAATTTGACCTTTAATACAAGCATTTATTAAATTCAGTGTTAATGTTGCACTTGCTAATGTTGTATAAAATGAAGCTTCTTTTGACGCTAGAAAAAAAAAATTAAATAAATTATTCATCACTAAAATAAAAAAAGAAATATTAAAATCACACCTTGTCGTAAAAATCTTCTTAATGAAATAATTTTTGAACTTAATTGACAACCCCATGGATGATTACGAAAATGATATTGACATTGTTGATGAGTTTGAATATTTGATTCATAAAGAATCATATGTAAATGAGGAATTTTTGAACATAAATAATCTGTATTTTCTCCAATAAATGAACGATAAGATTGACATGTTAAACCTTTGTTTAATTGAGTTGTTGGTGTTAAACCTAATAACCTAAATAAGATTGATAACAAAAAAAAAGCCTTCTAAATATATTCTCATAAATGAATATTTACATAAAATCACTAGGTAATGTTTTTGCTTGTGTAATTAGAATAAATGAAATTAGTATGATTAATGATGACATTGTAGTGATTTGATTTGAGTATGTCACATACATTCACTTTCTAAATCTATATATTGATTTCGTCTCGCCGTATGTTTTGTTTTTCTTCTGGTGGTCAATTGTTGAATGTGTTCAATCAAAGAATATTTTGTTATTGTTGCATCTCACTCTCTCGCTCGCTTTTTCTCTGGATCATAAACGTTAAACATAAAAAATAAAAATGTGCTGTGAGCGGCGATCAACCGCGAGAAAGGTGTCAAGAATGAAAAGGTGTCACATAGCCTTTTAATGTCCTTCAGAACGAATAACACCCATCTGTGACCAAAACATGCCTCATTTTACCATCATATAAACATGAATATTATAACTTTATAGCTTTTAACAATGAGAACATTATGTGCATTGCCAACATTCCTTTATATTGTGTTAAGTTTGATAGCTGATCAAGCGGAAATGTGATCACAATGAGTATCCATCAATACGCCTTCTTTTTCTTTGGACAAGTAGCATACATATTTTTCTACAGTGATCATAGTTCTTGAGTATTGACAAAAATGGGAGTAATAGAAATTTGGCAGACAGTTATCAGACAAATACTCAACATTCTTGCAGACATATTGCAAAAAAACGAAAAAGGGTTAATACTTCGAGCTCTTCATTCATCGAGATGCATAGCAAATATGAGTTAAATTTAAAAGTTTAATCAAACTTTTCAATTGTTGATCTATGACTAAAGGCGTTTTTCTTTTGATTCAATTGGAGAATAAGCTTGCTCAATATTTGATTATTTTTTATGGTCATATAAGTGTTATATGAGGTGAGAAAACAAACGTTTTTTTTGAACTTTAATTCAAGTGACAACAAAAAGAAAAAAATCGATGAATATGTGACAATAATCGGAATAATGTTTTCTGTTTCGCACCATCTAGATTACATAGATTCTTTTGAAATGTGTACTAAAATATGTGTATGACAAGAGTTCTTTGACAATGGCATCAATAGAAATCACAATCAGTTCAATTGATTTCTTTTTCTTTTTACTTTATACGACGGCATTGACATGCCTCCGGAAGTAAAACTTTCAGTTTCCACAAGTGCATTTGACACTTCATTTAGCTAATGTTTCTCAATAGTGCATTGAAACATGACTTCGACAAAAAAAGAAAAGAACAAACAGGATACTCGATATCGATAGCATGACTTTTTACAAATGTTTTTTTTTAATCATTTGATACTATTTATGTGCAAATTGCAGTGATATTCAGTAGGTTCAAAAATCAAATTTCATCATATCGATTACAATCAATTCATAATAAACTATAAATATTTCTTCAAGCTAATGGAAAATGAGAGTCATTAAAAAAAGACAGATCAACTTATAAAATAATCTTCTTATAGTTTCTGAAAAGATCTGATACATATAAGCTTCTTTAATACAGGATTTAATGATTCATTGGTTTTCTTGTATCAAAAAAAGACAGGAAAAGAGAGCATAAAATAGAAAAAAAGATTCTATTAAGATAAAAGAATAGGTAGTATCTAAAAAAAAAGAAAATCAACTGTTTTGCTTTCTTTTTTTTTTCGTTCTTTATACATCAATATAAAACATACACATTAGATTATGTATCCAAATGAAAAAATAAAATTTTTCGACTAACATTAACAACAGCTGTTTCTTGTGTTTCTTCATCTAAACCAAGATCAACTATATTCGATAAAATCAATGTATCATCATCCGTAATAGCAACAAATTGTGCATGAAAAAGTGTATTATCATCTTGTGTTGGTTGTTGTATTTGATGATACATATCATAAGGATTTCCCATTCCATGATAAAATGGTTGCATTTGTGATGTTGATCCAGGATTATTTGCCCACATATGTGACGATGGATGTCTACCACTAGCATTCCACATAACTTGTTGTTGCATCCATGCTATTGTTTGTGGATCTGGCTTTCTTGATGGTCGATGTATTATATTAGCAAGTGAATTTGCTGTATGATGTCCACCACCAAGCGTCATCTCATATGTATATGTTCCATGTATAGTTGGTATAATACGATTTGGAACATAATATTCTCGACGTAATTGTCCTTCTTGATCAAAAACGAGTACATGATTATTATATGGATGTACATCACAATTCCAAACTAAAACATAAATTAAATCTTGACGTGATACACATAAATAAACTGTTTGTAAATAATGCATATTTGGTGTTGTAATTAGCCAACGATATATAAATGAACCTGTTTGTTTATTATATATACTTATTTGATTTGTCTTTGAATGTAAACAAACAAGAAATGTTGAACCAGATGATATACAACCAATATTTTCAATATTTATTGACCAATTACGATCTAAATTTATTAAGTTTAAACCATCATATACATATATTGATGATGTTGAACGATCAACTTCAACAAATAATAATTCATTTGTTATTGGTAAACGTTTTGATGTTGAAATAAAATAACCATTTTGATCGAAAAATAATAAACGTTGTTTAAGTGTTTGACTTGGTACTGTTTTATCTAAAGGTTCAGTAACATAAACACGTATTTCATTTATAATCAAACAATTTTGTGAATTATTAATTGATGCTGATGATAATAATTTATAACCATGTAAATCTTCAAATTTATATTGTAGAATAAGATCATTTGCATTTATTTTTCTACCATTTGTATCATATAATTTAACAGTATGAATTTTTGTTGAACCGAATACAACCAATAATTGATTTAATATTGAATTAACAACAAGATAAAGATTTGTTGTAAAATGATCAAGAACAACAATTGATGATGGAATTATATAAGATGATTTTAATTTCGGTGGAAATGTATAAGACTGATCAGATGTTGGTATTGAATCTATTGCTGGTGATACATCCGATGACGGTGAATCAAGTGATTCATATATATGTGGAGTTTGTGGATCGTTGAATGAGCCTAGAATTTTTTTAGATGGAACTTTTATTGTACGACGTTTTATTAAATTACGCATAGAGCTACGAAGCGAATGTCTTTGCATATTAACGGGCTTACCCGCCTCGTTTTTATTGATATTGTTGACACTTGGATTTGATCGTACTATTGGTCGATGTTTATTCAATGTATCATAAACATTGAAATTTTTTTCTGATTTTTTTGTTTGATCAATTTTTACACTTGGTAAATAATTTTCATCTGAATGAGATAAAGATATAAATGAACGTATTTCATTAATTAAACGACGTGCAGTAGTAGGTGAACATGATTGTTTTTGAAAATTTTCAGCAACATGCAAACAATTTTTTAAATCATTATTATTATTCATAGCAAGCATAGAATAAGCATCTGTTATAGTTTCTTTAAGCAATAAAATCTCACCGTCATTTGTTGTCATAGCTGAAGAATTTGTTGATGCTGTTGTATTAGCATTAGTAGTAAGTACTTTATCAAAACGACGACGAAGCGATGCTACGAATGAATTCATTTTATTATATGCTGATGATGATTGATCAGTAACGAAACGATATACACTATCGACTGTTTCATTCATCGTTGTCACTTTCTTGATTGATAAAAAAAATAAACAAATAGTAATAAGGTTGTTTTTTACTTCCTATTTACCTGTATATGTGTCACTAGCCGAAATAGTTCGTTTATCGTTAGAAAAAAATAATTTAGTTTATATGTATGTATATGTATATATATATGTATGACAACTGCAGAGAAAAAAGAAGTAATTGAACTTATAGAACACTTGAACGAGCAACTCAACGAAGCATGACCATTTGTTCATATCGGTTATTCTGTTCTTTTCTTTTCTTTTTTTTTATTTGAAAGGTCTTTATTGCTTAGGCAACAATAAAAATTAAACAAACTTGTTTAAAATGTATAAAAGTATGAATAATAAATTATGTTTATATATTATTTCGTTATACAATGAATAGAATCAGTTTAAGATATTGTTATAACGATATTTAATGGTTATAGTCGAACTTATTGGTAGTATATCATTAGCAATTGCTCTTGTAAGTGCTATTGCTTTTACAATTATTCATATTAAAAATAAACAACATGATGTAACATATATTCATGATCATACATTGAATAATATTGAACAATCAGATATAATAACTAAACATTTACAACAAGAAACCAATCAACCATCGTTAGTTTTACCTTTTGAAGAATTGAAGTGAGAAATTTTTTTTTTATATTAGTTCATCAAATATTCGAAGACAAATTTATTTTAGTTCTTGAAAGCAATATAGAGAAAGAGTAAGATTGCATGGGATAACGTTAGAGTTACTCTATGATTATGTGATGAGAAAGAAGATCAGTTAAGATAATTTGAACTAGATTTGATCATGCTTAAAACGATACAGACAATATTCAAATGTCATATTATCAGTTGACATTATCTTCTCTTTTCTTTACTCGCTTTATTTTTAAACGCCTATTGTCTTAATAAGTGAAAGATCTATTTTCTTTCTCAGTCAAGATATTTCGATAAATTCTCCATCAAAAACAAATATTTCTAAAGAATTACCTATAATTAATGTCATTAATAACGATGAAACACCTTTATCTTCTATAAAATATGGTATACAATGGACATTACCATCAAATGCCGATATTCAATCTGAAGTAATCAAATCATCATCTAATATCGTAAAGACTTCTGAATTTGATCAAGGCGATTCATTATCATTTAATGATCAAACAATAAGTGTACGACACTTAATTGACAAATTTGAAAATAATTCAATACGAAAAATTTATCAAAAAGAAAAGTATTTTTAATTTAATAAAAATAACTCCAAGATTTTCTTTTTCTTGTTTCTTTGTGTTTAAGAGATAATCAATCTGAATCTGATTTAACAAGTATTGATACAAATCTTGATAGTCAAACAGTCAAAATTGATTTTAATCAAAATCAACAAAAACTTTCATATCATTCATCATTATCAAATTTTGATGTAACAATTCCATCAAATCTTTCATCATCTATTGATCTTGAACAATTCGAATGTTTTTCAACGACATCAAATTTAAGCGAATTTTTAAATAATAATTAATCAATTGTATAATTTTTTATTTTTTTCGGAATTAATTAATCGAAGATCAAGAAAAAAATAGAATCAAACTACAAAAATGGAAATCTTTTGTTTTTTTTGTCTCTCACAAAAAGTCATTGATTTTACAAACACGATTTTCTTTTCGAGCTACTTCAGCAGCAAATGCTATTATGTGACTTGTTAATGAATCTTCAGGTCCTGTGCCAATTAATTCAGGTTTATTTAACGATAATGCTTGTATAAATGAATCCATAGCAAAAAAATCTGCACCACCATGACCACTCATAACACCAGCAGCGGAAAGATCACTTTCATCATAAACTGTACGTTTTTGTGTAAGAAAATCATAATGAACTATTGTGTCATCACCTTTCCATGTTAATTCACCATGAGTACCAAATATACGTGATGTACGTTGACATACTTGTTCAGTAAATGCAACCATTTGCATTGTTACTGTTGCTCCTAGGATATTAAAAACGAGAATTTAATTTATTTCTTCAAAAAGAAAAATACATCAAAACTGAATCAGCAATGATCTTTTTGTCTAATTTCAAATAAGAGTTTACTTATTGGGAATTCATGGCTGTATGAAATAATTGTTTTTCTATGACAAGATTGAAAGTAGGTATTGAAAAAAAATATATATTCAATTCATCGAACATATTGGTATTAGTCAAATTTCGATTAGTATCTTTAGTTGAATATTTAGTACTCATATCTTCATTTTCAAGATTGATTGTAGATATTTATATAATGTCAAATCATATGATGAGAGGTAAAAATTATCTTTTTCTCGTTTTTTGAAAAATTCGTCTTGCAATATATGAACGTCGATGTTTAGCACTTTTTTGTATACAGCAAATTAAACCTGCCAAATATTGGATAGTGAAAACTTTTAGCCAATTGCAAGATAGTACAAAATATTCTATATTAAGTAGAAAGGTTTTTGCTTAGAGAACTTTCTTTTTGTGTCATTTATCCTTCTAAACTAGATATATATTGGTAGTCAAGATTAAAATCAATTTTTTCAGGTATATTAGATTGTACAAGTTTCGAAATTAAAGCCCATCGGGTACTAAATTTTCCGACCCGGACGACAGACTCTACTCGAAGTCCTTGTAAATGAACAATTCCTTTCTGTCGATTATCTCGCCCATCCACTACTCTTTGACAATGTTAAATAAAACCTAATCGTTGTTTTTAAACTTAAAAAACTCATTTTTTACCATCATCAAAATTTAATATAACTACTTGTTGATCTACAACATCATTATTACAATCTCCATAAACACATTTTCCGTATGGTCCATTTTTCAAAGCATGTTCAACTTTAATTTTAATTTGATCCCAATTTTCATCATCTTCAATGTCTGGTACAACAACTGAAACTGGCCAATGACGATTAGGTTTCTCAAGATAAATTTTTTTTGCTGAATACGGACATGTTGATTCAACCGAACAAGTTAAACATCGATCACTAGCACCTTTTGGTTTATTTTCACTGGTAAAATGCATTAATTTTCCAAAACTTGAAATATTTGTACATTGACGTGGCTGCATCCAATATTGAATTAAATCAAGGTCATGACAACATTTAGCTAATAATGAAAAACAACTTTCATCTTCATTATGCCAATTTCCACGTACAAATGAATGAGCAAAATGCCAAAACCCTACAAAAATACAATTAATTTCAACGGTTATTTCTTAGTAAAAAAATCTTTCTTTTTTGTTTTTTTTTTACCAACGGGTTCAATATGTTGAATTGAAATAAGTTTACCAATAATATTTTTATCTAATAATTCTTTAATTTTTTTTACAACAGGTAAATATCGTAAAACATGGCAAACAGCTAATAGAACCTTATTATCTCGACAAACTTGAACAATTTCTTTGCAATGTTCAAGTTTTGTAGCCATTGGTTTTTCTAATAAAATATGATAACCTTTCTTAGCTAATTGTATAGCTGCTTCATAATGTTCTCGGTCTGGTAATGTTATAAGAGCACAATCAGCAAGACGTTCAACATTTGAATCAGCTAATCGACGCCAATCATCATACACATATTTATCTTCAAGTGAATAAAGTTTTTGTAATTTTTTACGTACAACTTCTCGTGGATCAGCTACAGCAATTAAACGAAAACGTTTTGGAAAATGACGACCATATTCAGCATAATTTTGTCCACGATTACCACAACCAACAATTATTCCTGTAATTTGTCGATACTCATCACCCTCCATTGTATCGTTATTGTCCAAATACATGTCATATCTTGAAATTTATCAACGTATTTTTCTGTTGGTCTAATTCATACGTCCAATCAATTTTGAGCAAGGCAAAAAAAAGGGTCACCATGATTGTTGAAGTGCGTAAATGGTCATATTAATATAAGTTGAGTAAGTGGTGTTTAGAAATTGTTATTATAAATATTTTGATCAAATAATATGTCACAATCCAAAAAACACAAAAACATTTTAGTTGTTTAATAAATTTTTAATGGTTCTTTACTTGATTTGTTTGTTAGATTCACTCTGGATCTAAATCGATAAAAATATAAAATCGAACTTGTTTTCCAAAACTACAGTTATCTATATTCATTAATCATGTTTATACCGGTCCTTGTTTTTTTTATATATCTAAATCAGTAATGACTTTATGTCAAGTGACAACGTACATCTCGACATCATGAGAAAGATTAATCATTCTCATGTTTATTTATTTTTATTATATTTGAATATATACGTACACTTTTACTTTTCGAAAGCATAATTGTTTTTCTTGCTTTGTTTTTTGAATAGAAAATCTTATCATGGAAAAATCAGTTCTTGAACAAATTTTAAAAGTTGTCGAAACAGTTTATGGTACATATACGAAAGGAAACTGGATACCAAAACCATATGCTGATAATAAAAGTCGTTATTTATGGACAGATGCATATGGTGTTTGTAATTTTTTAACATTATATCGTGAAACAAACGATATAAAATATCTTGAACAAGCTGATGCACTTATTAATAATGTACATGATATACTTGGACGTGAACGAAATGGTAAAAACCGTTTAGGAAAATCAACAGATGAATATCCAACTCGTGGTGGATTACGTATTGGAAAAGTTGAAGATGAAGGATCATATGATGGTGATGGACGTAAGTTTTAATTAAATATATTATAGGAATATTTTTATCATAAATACTTTTAGAATATTTTCATTATTTAACAAAATGGGCATTTGCATTAAGTCGAATGGCAAAAATAAAAAATGATCAACGTTATATACGATGGGCTATTGATTTAATCAAAGCAATTCATCCACGTTTCCTCTATCGTGATCGTAATAATCAGCTTCATATGTATTGGAAAATGAATATTGATTTAACATATCCAGCTGTACCATCGGAAGGAAATCTTGATCCATATGATGGTTATATAACTTATCGATTAGTTGATGAATTAGCTGAAGAGCGAGAATTAGAAAAAGAAATCGATGAAATGAAATCAATGGTTGATATTAAATATTCACGTTATCGTTCATCTGATCCACTTGATTTAGGTGAAGCATTATGGATTACACATTGGTATCCCGATGAACAATGGGCAAAAACAATAACATCAAAATCATTACAAGCACTTGAAGAATTATGGCAACATGGAGATTTTCAAGAATCATTAAATCGACGATTAGCATTTAGAGAATTTGGTACAACTATTGGTATACAAGTTAATGATAAAGCTGGAGAAATATGGAAAGATAGAATTAATGAAATACATAATCTTTGGTTGCCACATCTTTATAAACGAGATAAAGATATATCACCAGTTATGTTTTGTACTAGTCTTCGACCTGGTGTTGTCAGTCGTCATTATTTAACCTAGAAAACTTTTGTACTATTTTGTGTGTATGTAGCTGAGCAAAACAAATAAACTAGCGATTATTTTTTGATTAATCTGTCTGATTGAAAGATACGCAATAATCATAGATATTCATTGTATTTTATATAATTAATAAATTACTATGAAAAATTTTGATTTTTACAACAAAGATTAAATCCTTTGATTTATATGAGGAACCATTAAGGATGCCACGTCCTTTATGAGAATGGCTCATCAGAAAATTTTGAAAACTTCAGAGCAGATAAGTTTTGATGAGTAGAGCAAAAGTTGTTACAGACTCAAGGTTCTTGGATGCTGTCTTCTATGAAATACTAGGATCACAATAGTGAAAAATGATCTCTATGTTTGCCTTCGTTTCTCTGCGTTGTTATGTTCGATTGAGCGAAAAATTTTTCTGCAGGCACTAGACACAATTTCGAATGGAGATCTTTTTATTTTTTGTTCTTCGAATAAAGAGGTCAAAATATCTTAGGTACTCTAAAAAAATGCATATTCTTCTGAATAGAGTTTTTTTTTGTAGAAGCTACTAAAAATCGGCAAAACAATATTTTTTAAAACAAAAAAAGCCATCCCAAACAATGTATAATATATGTGAAAAACTTTCAGTTCGATCAGGCATACAAGACTGGAGAAACAGAGGTGATTTCGCACTTCTTAGTGTAAAAATTGATTTCGAGAAAAACCAACGTTTTTGCATGTATCAGGACTTTTTTCTTCAACTAAAGTAATTGAAAACTTACTGTGTTCAGCGATGTTAGAGGAAGGTTCGTTGCCCATGCTGTCAATATTTTGGAATGAGAAATAATCATTATCATTAGATGAGTTTTGCAAACAAAGAATAATCGGAGCGCGAGTTTTTCTGTTTGGGATTTCGAGAGTTGGATTTAGTAGAAATACTAACTAACAACGAAAAGCCCTCATTTGTATGGCATTTTACAGATGACACTTCGTAGCTATATTGGCGATAAGAGACTAGAAATAAAAAAATTTTGATTTTAACATCCTCAACGGGTAATTCTCTTAAATACTTAAAAAATTCATTCCAATGACAAAGTTCTGAGATCTACGGTTGGAAAGAATAATGAAATACAGTGATGAAGTGACTTTCAATTAGTGAAAAATCAACTTAATATTATTCAGTAAATTGAAATAAATCAAAAAACAGTGTTATCGGACATTATGTTTGTCATAAGACTTTATTGTATGCATGTAATTACGGATAGAACAAAGAGCTACTTACCGATAATATGTCAAGTAGAGAACTGTGGGTCCTAACAGACCCAAATCTGAGTCTATAAAAATGTAAATTCTTAACTTCCTATTGGCAAGGAATATCACAAGTTTTTGAAAACGCATTAATCTAGAACGTAGTACAAGGTTGAATATATGTGCTATCATAATGGCACAGTATGCATCAAATGAGCACATTTCATAATTATATTTTTATCATTGATAAAAACAATTATCATTGAAAAAAGCTAACTACGTAATAGGTCTCAACAACGAATTTGTTATCATATGATCATAATTATCTTATCTTGTTACTATAGTATTTTGATTTAAACTCAATGTTTTATTTTATTATAATTACAAGACTTCAAGATTATTTCGAAACGTGGTTTCTTCTATATAATTGTTTTTCTTGTTGGAAATAATATCGACTGTTACTTGTTCATAAAGTCTTAAATTGACATTCAATTTAGTATTTCTTTTTCAAATAATAGCAGAATATATACTATGTCTGCTGTTCTGTTAGTTCTAACATTGTATCAATTTTCAGTAACTGAGTGACACTGAGTATGAAAAAAGAATAAACTAATTCACCTAGGATTGTACTAAATTGTTACAATATATACATTTTTTTTGAATATTTCAAAACTGAAATTCAGTATTTTATTATTATATCTAATTGAGAACAATTTCATCAAAAAGTAATACATTAGTTTTTGATAAATGAATAGTTAACTTGAACAAAAAGAAACAAATTTTCACCGACGTGTATCACGATAATGAGGACTTCGACTACGATTTCGGTATGAATGATGAGTATTTGAAAAATTTCGATATGATTGACGATTATTTGAAAAATAACGCCGTTGATTATTATTATTATTATTAAATTGTCGTGGTCGATGAGTATTTCTTTCTTGACTCCAATCATTTACAACTGGTGGACTATTTGAACGTTGAATCATTTGAATATATTCTTCATCTTCATTAGTGTAACGTTCAGAAAAAAGTTCATTTAATCTTTTTAATTCGTCCATATCTTTTTCATGTTTTTTATTATCATCTGTTGTCGTCATCTAGAAAATGAAATGAAAAGAAAACTTAATATTTTACATCTGTTCAAATTCTCAACGATATTAAATTGACAAGATGCATTAGTTATTCAACGAGTAATAAGTTGATTGAACGTGTCGTGCAATCAAAAAAAGAAGAAAAAAAATGTACGAGCCGAATAAAAGAGAATTAATTTTTCCCTTTTTTTTGATTGCTATGACTTATTTTAAACGACATCAAAAACGGAAAATAGTTCAATAATCATGGAACATGCATATTATTGGAATATCCATGAAGAATATCATCCAAAAAATCGTTTATTAAAATATTCAAAATCATCACAAATCTCTAGAGAAACACTCCAAATGCTTTCACAAATACGAAAAATGTATCACAAATTACCACCAATCATTTATTTTCTACAAGATAGACAAGAAAATGAAGGTATAGATTTTCAAAAAACAAAACACGCTTTATTGTATCATTTTTTTTTCTTTTATATTCTTTTTAAAGACTTTATACTTGAATATGATATTTTCGGTCAACAATGCAATTTACCCTTGAAAAACTCAAAAGACATTTGGCAACCAACATCATTCTATGTTTCAGACGGCATATATGAACAAATAAAACGTGATCTATTTTCATGCAAAATAAATAAAGATTATATATTTCTTTGTTTATTTCCAATATATGCTGATATGAATTGTAAAAAGAAATTATTAACTGGTCAACAAAATGAAGAAATCTTTCTTCCATCAACAATGTCAACTACAGAATATGATCTTAATAATTTAGTTGAACGTTTTCATATGATGTTATATAAAGAACAAGCACTTGAAATAGGTTTATGTCAAAAACGTCGAAGAATTTATAATGATTTATTTGATGAACTTCTTCGTTTAATAACGCTTCAATGTACGGAACGTGGTCTTTTACTTGGAAGAATTAAAAATGAATATATACAATGGATGAATACATATGAAGAACTTTATAAAAGTGGTATGGCTTATGGTTTAAGACAATATTTATATAAAACAGAAGAAAAACAAAAATATGAATGTGTTATTCAAAAATTAGAAAATGATTGTCAACAATTACATAATGAAATTGACAAAGAATCAATGCGTTATGAAAAATTAACTCAATTAATTAATAATGATACCGAACAAAATTTATTAAAAACTAATGTTAATATATTACGATCAACAAATGAAATACTTCGACGGGATCTTCAAAATACATTAAATCATATTTTATCATCAACTATTTTTCTTGGAGAACCAATTGATTATGAGAAAGAAAAAGATTACTAAGAAAAGACACAAAATTACTGAATATATATTTTTTCTTTTTCATTCGAAATATTATCAAATAAAAAACAAACTGAATGCACGAACATATTATTCTAAAAATGGAATTTTCATTGGTGTAGGATTTTGCATGTAGGTAATGACAACAGCAGATATTGAAAGCCTAAACAAAGACGAGATTTATTTTTCTATTTGTTATTAAATATAGAAAGAAAGTAATGAAAGTTGTGTTGGTGAGAAATGTTCTACAAATAGTATATTTAAAATTCATTAAATTAATGTTATTCCGCTCTGATACGCAACGAGAGAGATATAAATATACAATGTTGACCTATTTTGATTCCACTAACTGACTTTATTTAACAAAAAAAAACTTTGGAGGATACTTCTTCAGATGCCCCTTTCCGATTTCAATGATAATTTTTGCCTTTAGATACTACATAGTGTTCTAATAAAAATCGTAAAAGAATTTGGGTTTCTATTGATTTTTAACTAACACAGAGCCATATTCAACCATTAGACCTTGTTCGATTCTATATTTTGTCTATAAATAGTACTCAATGAAAATAACAAACTTCTTCAAAGGCTTCGTCCCAGAGTCTTATTCAGCCAAAGTTATGAGTCAATTAGGAGATTTTCATCGGATATTTCGCTTTTTGCTAGATCTCATAGCCACTAGAATATCATAAGAATTTCAGATCAAACGAATTTTTTTGTTGTTGAGATATCGAGTATCTAAGATAACACAAATCTATGACTTGCCTAGTGTATATATGAACATTTGTTAGATACTCATCACTTCGACAAGGATACATTCATTTGCGCTGAAATTTTTAGAATATTCTAGTAGTCGGGAGACCTATCTGTAAGCAAAAAATTTCAGATGAAAAATCTCGTTACGCATATAGAGAACTGAACTGAAATAATTTTCATAGAATAATTCATATGTTTTGAATAAAGTCTCTGCGACATATGAGACTTTCAAGATATAGACCCTTTTTTCATAGACGGTGTCTACAACGTGCATTTTTGAAAGCTTCATATGTCCATTAGACACTGTGCCTAAATTGCTAGATTATTTTATGTAAGCCGGTCTAATTGAGTACTCTATAAATCGAAAGGGAGCATTTGAAGAAGTTCTCTAGTTAGTAAGCACTGGTGTTTTGATCGTAACGGAGACTCTTGAAATAGCACTGCTCCACCAATATGTATCAGAAGAACATGTGGTTTTCGAAGAGTTAAATGATTTTATGAATTTGTTTTGAGAAAACCATACGATAGATTTGAATTCAATTTTTGTAAGTTTCTACAAAACTACAAAGACTTAAGTTTCGTAATAAAGTTAATCGAAGAACACATAAGTCGTACTGCTTGAAATTGTGTTTTATGTATGAAAAGAAGCATTTTCTTTAAAAGAAATAAAATTCAAAAGAAAGTTTTTCGCTATCAAACAAAGAATCTATTCTGTAAACTACATGAACAAAAATCACTGATGATCAAACGATCAAAATTTAGGAGCTAATATAAGCTCTAGATTTGCGGCAATGATATTATTTTTGAAGATTTTCTACTATTTATTAGAACAATTCATTTGAAGTATATGATTTCAAAATACATACATGAAACTGCTAAGAACTTGTTTAGTATCTTCCGAAGCTCGTGAATTAGCAAAACCGACAAATGCTAAATATTTATATCGTTAACAAAAAATAGATTTTATTGATAAAATTATTACCAGCAAATAATGCAATCCATGCGCACCATTTAATCTAGAATTTATTTTAAGAATTAATATTTCTGTATAAAAAAAAACTCTCTTTGATTTTGATTACTTTGAGCATTAATGAACACATAGAGCAAATCATTCCTATTAAATTCATGTAATCAGGTAAAGCATCATCTACTTGTGTAATAAATCTTGATTGAAATCTTTAATATAAATTTTGTAAAATAGAAAAATAAATTTAAAAATAATAAATACCTATGAATACGGTTTGATCGGCGATTATCCATGGTACTCGAAGAATCTAAAATAATATGAGTTATTTAAGAGTTCGCCTTTTGACTCTTCAACACGATGCACACATTCTCACTCTCACTCTATGTTGCGTGTGATTGAGTTACATGTGTATGTGTGAAGAGGTATGTAATGTGTAGAAGAACCCGGTTTTTCTACAGGTTACATCCACCCTATTCACTAATTGGCTTGATCTCATAAGGCAAAAAAACTATTGCACATAGGTGAGGGTGTATATGTATGCATTGTTGAAGTTCCAATGTTTCTTATCGTACTAGTGTACCTTGTACCTTTGCATTGGTTATTATAAAAGATGCTTAAGAATTGAATTATAGATGGCGTTGCATGTTAATCTAAAAAGAAAAGATTTAAAATCTCGTTTAAATATAGAAAGAAATGAATTATTACACAGTTATTAAATATGAATATGATATGATTATATTTTCTTTCAATTAGAAATTTATTTTTATATAAACTCTGTGAAACCTATGAGAATAGAATTAAAAATAATTTTTCATAATGGCTTTTCGAGTATTCTGGTTAGGCAGAATGATAAACAATACTTGTGATTTTCTAATTTTTTTTTTTTGCCCATGCTAGCATCATTGATCTTTCTTTCTTCATGATAAAAGTACTGAACAGAAAATACTCAACTGCGAAATAGTTTCCTTTTTCCATAGAGGTACAAACAAATCTATTTTTATTAACTCTGATACGGGCCAAGTGAAGATGAAAAAAGAAGAACATTAATCAAAACATATATATATATACATGCAATGCAAATGCAGTTGTTATATATATAATGAAAGTAAACATCAACAATATTCTATTTAATATGCGAAATATAATTGTCAGATTAACAAAAACATATTACTATCAAAAATACTAATTTCAGAGAATGCCGTTTGTTGAATTAATTCTAACAGAGTATCAATATCATAGCTACTTGATCGATACTTGATAAGTACAAGCAATACTCTACATTGAACATATTTACATAGATTAGCTAACTGAACAGCTCGAAGCCTCTTATGTTTAAATACTCAAGTTCTAATTGAGTAGATAAAATAGTCCAAGTACTGAAAAGCATCTGTGACACACTGGTTACAGAGTATTTGTTCAAATACTTTTAATTTAGTACTTTCACTGAAAATCAATCATATCAATGTTTTGCATATACTTATCGAATTCATTTTAGTAAAAGAAATAGTGTGCAAGAAAAAAAGTAGATTTTGAAATTTTTTTTAATGATATCTTATATGATTATCATTTGTATTGACATTATTTGAAAGCAATCATAATGAAATTATCAATTAATGATGAATTTAGAAATATTCTCTATTTTTCAATTGAACTACAAGCTTTCGTAGTAAGAAGTTTGTTTACTAAATTACAGTTATAAGTTTTTCCTTAAACAAATCTACAAACAATTAAATGTGTTCCATTGTCTAATGATGTCTTCACTACTATAAAATTAAACAATATTTAATATTTCTATAGTCGATATAGAGATTTTAAAATTTGTTTCATGATGATTGAAATTTGATAACGCATAAAACATTATCCTTAGTTCAATATAAAGTCATCATTTGCCAAGAACCTTTTATATTTATTAATGTATATCTTATCTTTTCAATCTTCAATATAGATATTGTTTATTAAGTTATCAAATAGTTCATTAGTAGTACCCAAATGAATTCAAAGTCAATATTTGATTAATGATATCTTCTAAGAAGATATATTGTCATTGAAATTGAAGGAAAAAGTAATTTTTCTTGCATTCTATCTAATGTCTTGCTTTATTAAGTGTTAACAGCTCGAAATATTCTCATTTGGTTATTGACAATATTTTTTCGTCACTTATGTCTATTGGCATCATGAAATTATTCATTTATATTTGTTGAAAACTTCTTTATATAAAAACTAAAACATCAATCAAATGTTTTCTCTTTAGTTAACAGGTAATTTGTTAATGTTTACTATGAAATAAATGTTACTTTTTTTCTGTCCATCAATGACTATTAATGATTTTTTTTTGAAAGACAGAGAATAACACAACCACCAAGTAAGATGAATCATTCAATATAATATAATTTTTTCAAGGTTAGTGATTTCTATTAAAATAATCTGTCGAGTGATTATTACCAATTATCAGCACGTTTTTCTTTTTCTCTCCTCGTGTTTGACAATAGTACCGAATGGTATTTGGATGACTAAAATCTGTTTATATTATAGTTGTTTTTATGTTTTGTTCTGTTGGACATGCATCAATAATTCTTGTGTACACGTTGTATATCGTACGTGTGAGTCTTGTTTTTTTCTGATATTCATGATATTTTACTCTCTCTTGCATTGCTTTAACGTACTTTCTTCCTTTTTTTTTTTTTTGACGATAGTTTAGACGCATAAGCGTACAGAAAACAACAACAACGTCACACGGCATAACCTCATATTTTATAAAGTATTTAAATTAGTTTTAACATATTTATGGCAGTAGAAAAAAAGAAGTTCTACGAGCGTCCAGGATTTTGGAAAATTTTATTGGCTGTTGCTCTTGGTTTTGCATTTATTGCGTTTCTTCTTGGTATGAATTTAGAAAAAGATTGCAAATAAAAAAAGTGAAATAATCCATTTTTTTTTTACTTTTGTTAGGATGGATCGGTTTTGGTGTTCCTGATTGGCAGGCATTTACACGTAATAATAGTAGCACACAAGAATTTTATGGCCTTTGGGCATATTGTCAACAGGCACCTCCATATTATAGTACTACTTGTAAACATTGGGGTGATGCTGCAACTCAATTATATAATGGTAGTCAACCGAATTTTATTAGTACTGCCGATGGTCTCATCACTACTGGTATGATATTTCTTTCTTTGGGTCTTATGGCTGGTATAGTCGCTGCTATTCTTCCATTATTATGTTATGCAGCCGGTGTCTTAACTTTTCTTGGTTTTCTCTTTATTATTATTGGTTTACCAATATTTGGTCAACAGTCAAATGATTTTTCTAAACTACTAGGTGATACATCATACAATAAACGTTACGGTTTTTGGCTTATGGTTCCAACAATTATACTTTCATTTATAGCTGCTATTCTATTTATAATTACTGCATTTTTATATCAAAAATATGGTTTTGGTAATATAGCAACAAATACTAAGAGTCGGCGTGCCTATGGTGGACAGCAATTTCTGGGACCAGCGAATGCAATTCCTGGAATGCCTTATGCAATGCGACCTGGAATGATGCCATATCCGTATCCACCACCAGGTCCAGTAGTACCATCTTTACTTTCACAATATATAGCTCGACGTATGCCTCGATATTATGCTCCGATTGTAGTACGACCGACAGTTGTTTCTGCATTTCCACAACCTTCTACTTCGGGAGCTGGTGGACAACCAATTTATGTAACACCAGCTTATTATAGACCTGCTGTAGTACAACGATCATCAAGTGCACCTACAGTGAATCTTACTGGAAGAGCAGTTTATGCTCCGACTGTACGCGTTTCTTAACATTTTTCATAAGAAACAAGAACTCAGGAACAAATAATTAATAAATACGACTACCTTTTTTTATAGTCCGTGTGAATTTTTTTTGGAATTTACATTTCGTTTTTTTCCAATTCTATTTATATTAAACTATGCACAATACACTATGTTGAATAATAAAAGAACATCTGGCAGCTGCAATAACACTCAAGAACATGGTATCTTTATTTTTTGATTTCTTCGAAATAGCAGAGACATTTTTATTTGTCATGCTTGAAAAAATTCAAGAATAACCTTGATTATAGACAATATTCCTGTCTCTTTGTTTATATTTAAACATTGAATATGAACTAAAGACCTTGACATCTTTCTCTCTATATATATATATGAATATTCTTTTTTCATCATTTCAAAATCATTAGTTATATAATATTGAGCAGTAAGTTATCATTTTTTCAATTTATACGAGAAGCGTGAAGGAGAATCAGGCCATTGAAGGTACACTTATCTATCTAAGGACAAAGTTATCGCTCAATATTTCAACACACGTTCTTTCTTTTACTCATCGATCGACGAATTATCAAATATCATAGATATAACTATCCCTCTCTCTTTTGACAATAGCATCTAGCTAACGGTGTAGAGAAGATCATAAAATCAGGATCTATAAAACAAAAAAAAACATGAGATAAAGGAGTTGATTCCGTTGGAGCAGATTAGCAATATTTATATATAGATATATATATATATATCTTATCAGAAAAAAAAGAAAACTGACGAAAGGAAATGAGAACTTTATGCGTAAGCCCCTCTTTTTTCCATAAGTGTGTGCTTTACAATATGAGGATCAACAAGAACAAACTGAAAAAAATATAGAATGTAACCAGCACAAATATTATTCTCTCTAGCTGTGTATTTTGCCGCCTTTGCTTATTCACCTTCACATGTGCATTTGAGCATCTCATACAATCAGAATTACTCTGCTTTTTCTGGGTAATGTGCCATGTCTATTACCTTTTTTCTCTTACACTTCCTCTCTATCTCTCACACGTTCTCGTTCTCTTGAGGCCAATGAAATTCATCATTTTTTCATTTTCTTACTGTGGTCATCGGATGCCAATAAGAGCTTCATGCGCATATAGTAACAATATTAGTGTCAAATTAATAGGACTAAGTTCTAGTCTTATATTGATTATAATAACGATAGAAAAAAAAAGGCTGGAATATAATAACTAAATTCTTTTAGTCAGGCGAAAAAACACAATTATATTATAACAACATGACCGTTTTTTTTTCTTACTTTCTATCTGATTAGAACATAGATTAATAATAACCTCCAAGTATTATTAAATGAGAAGAAACTACTATTGACTTATTACTCCTGCTGTGTCTTTGATTATTCTCAATGTCATTCTTTAATCTCTTTTACTCTAGTTGTGTATCTAATAATCAAGATAGATTTCAGTCATATTGCTATCATTATTATCTGTCTACATTACTTTAGTTATCCATGATCGTTTTTCTTTCTTGTTCTTTAGCTTTTTCTCTTTTTCTTTTACTTTTCATCACTTGGGAACTGTCATTGAACAAGACAAGTATACTGTCAACTAGAAATGTGTTCCATTGAGATATTTTCAGACGACAAAGAGTGTTCATAAAAAACTGAGCTCTTCTTTATGAAAATCTGTCTATTGTTTTTTTCTGTTTTAGTTCACTGACAGATTTGTCCTTCGTCGGCATGTATATAAACATCGTTTTAGTTCTACTTAGTAAACAAATGCAAATAATAGATCGTTTTTTTTTCATAATAAGGCTAGTCCAATGTGTTTGTCTGAAGAATCAGAAAAAAGAGCTTCTAGCCTTTTTCTTTTCTTTTTTTTGCTTAAATCTACATTGTAACTCAGTAGACTACATTAGAGAAAATGATACATAATTGGCGCTCTTTTTATTTTTAGTATTAACAAAATGGCTCATGCATGTTCAAAAGCATTTTTATCTATACTTAATAGTCTGTTAATTATATTTGGGATTGCCTTGATCGTTCTGAGTTTATATAGATATAATAAATATCAATCAATTCATCTAATAATTGGTGTTATTATTCTTGCTTTTTTTATATTATTTATTGGTATTTTGGGATTAATCGGTGCAGTGAAACAATCAAAATGTGGTAAATATGTTTGTATTTATTAATGTAATTCTATATATATATATATCTTTGAAGCTTTATCTGTCTATATAATCTTTATTGCACCTATTACATTGGCACTTCTAACAATACTTATTATACTTTATTTAAAACGAAATTGGTTCATAAATGCAATTGTTGATAATTATGAAAAATATGTAACAAGTTCGCAATTACTTGACGACGAGAAAAATGTTGATATGACACGTGATTCGTATGTATTTGGAAAACCTTACATATTTCTTTTCATTTAGTTTTTGAAAAATTTATTTCCTTTCGTTTTTAGTTTTATTCAAATGCAATGTTGTGGTTTTAAAGAAAAAAATCGGCCGAAAAAAATTTTTAATCAAATTGATTTTTGTAATGTTATTGATAGATCAAAACCATTATGTGATGAAAAAATGAAAAATGATCTTCATCAAAATTTAGTTACAGTTATTATCATACATGCCATTTTGACAGGCTTAAGTACTTTAGCTTGTATAGTGGCTGCATATTTGGCATGTATTACAAGCAATGAGACACGATATGATACTTTTTAAAGTCGATATAACTAGATACCAATACATGCAATTGATATATATATATATAAAGAGAGAGAAAAGACCCATCATTTGTCACATTGTCGTCGTTCTTTTCTTTAGACACTGTGATATAAATGTTATAAACAATGAGAAGGCATAGAAATGAATTATCAGGCGGCGACGCGACGACCTCGGACCGACACTAGTCGCGATAAGTGAATTTATTAGTAGTCTTCTTTTCTTTCTCATTTCCTGTATTTGAATGATCGGATGTTAAGATTCATAAGCGTCCGATTTCTCGTATGTTACGGCTGGATAGTTGCGCAAGAAGGGTGATAGAATTACGCGTATATACATATATATGTATGTATATAAGCATTTTTCTGTCTTTATTTGCAAGTGTTGATGCCGGTAGTGATACGATGTAATAATATTCAAGTTGTCTTTCTTCGTTCATATCTATGCAAGTTTCTTATTGATGAAGTTAGAAATAAGATTATCGCGCAAGTGCGTTAGTGTTCTCTCTCTGTTTCTCTTTCACTAACATTCTCATTTAGTTAGCGAGTGTCATTGATGAAATCTCATTTTTCAAGTTGTACTCTCTCTCTCTCTCTCTCTCTCTATCTTTATATGTCGGTCTATATCTTTCTATTCTATCATCTCTTGTCTCTCTCTTTCCATAGATGAGAAAGGATCACCCGTTGTGCTTGTCACGCTCTCATTTTCCATTGGAATGAAAGAGAAAAGGAATAAAGGGAAGAAGATAGTAGATAATTTGTCGATGTTCCAATGTATCTGTTGCCGGCGGCTAATGTCCTTGACGTTGGTGAAACACCATCAGGAAACTCTTATTGCCGTTAATACTTTCCTTGAATGTGAGTCGAACTACATCGTCAGCTGTATATGAAATTCAATAGATCAAACAAAAGTACGCTCTCGGTGAACACTTCGATATTCATCTAAACGAAGCACAGATGAATATTGGACAAATACAGATGTTCATACAATAACCATGGAGATTATTAAATAAAGTATATATGCGAAACATGAAAGTAATGATGTTTAGATGTTAATCTTAAAGCAATAAACGAATATATATATATATATATCTTCTTTATCGATTCTAATCATGAAATCTTTTTTTTATTACATAAGAAGTTTCTATCCTCGCAAGTAGACATTTTCAACGTTTTTTTAATTTTTTCAATATCATGAAGTAACATTTTCTTTTTTTTGCTGGCTTTCTATATCTTTTCTTCACTTCCTCTTGTCGGAACGAACGATTGGTGTTGACACGGACATCCGGACATAGTCAAGTCTTCACACTGTAGCTTCGCCTACATCCGTTCATATTATTGTCTATTGCACACGTACTTATAAATCTATAGTTATTCGTTTTTCTTGTAGAAAAAAAAAAGAAATCCGATGTTAGTGGCTACGAATCATTGGCTTTCATCCATGATGATCAATGGAACAAGAAATGATGTACGCTTTAATAGTGACAATAATAATAATGTACAATTTTTGGGATATATCGAACCTATGTGGGCTAGTTTATCATTGATTATAAGTAAGTCAAAATATTTCTTTTATTGATTTCAAAGAAAAAGATTCAGAGCCTTAGTTTTGTCGATTATATATCTAATAAGATTTATTACTAGTTTTCCATTATTATTTTATTTTCATACTGGTATTAATATTAGTGAAAACTATTTGTATATTATTAACAAAAAAACCCAAACATCTTATTCATAATCATCTTCAGTTACTATATATTTATCATTATTAAAAATAATGGAATCATGAGTGTGAGAGAGATCAATATTCATAAGTAGAGATCTAGTTCAATAAGCCATTTCAGCTTTTCAAGGACATTTTTATATAAAAATAATAAGTCATTCAATACTAATAAGAATACTAAAAAAAGGAATAAAAGAAAAAAGTCATATACGTGAATATCCTGAAAACGGAAATGGATAAGACCGATTTTTTTCTATAAAAAGAAAAAACATCAATATGAAAAGTTTATTAAAAAAAAAGTTTTAATTACATAGACTTTATCATCAAATATTAAATTTCATATTTATTTTAGTTATTTTATTTACTGTATGTGGTAATAGTCTTGTATGTATTGCTGTTATACGTGAAAGACATTTACAAAATACCACAAATTATTTTTTAACATCACTTGCATTTACTGATTGTCTCGTGGCATGTCTTGTTATGCCATTAGCTGTTACTGTTGAACTTATTGGACATTTTCCTTTTAATGCATTAGCTTGTAATGTTTGGTTAACATTCGATGTTTGTTGTAGTACATCTTCGATATGGCATATGAGGTAAAAGAAGAATTATTATTTCAAGTATTTGGATTCTTATTTTAGTGTTATGTCACTTGATCGTTATCTCACATTGAGATATCCACTAAAGTATGGACGAAATAAACGACGAAGTTTAATGGCTTATAAAATAATAACAATATGGTAAGAAAAAACAAACAGAACAACAACATTCGATTTTTTTTGTATTTTTATTTTAAATAAATATAATTTTTGCCTATATAGGTTAATATCATTTGCTATTTGTTTACCATTATTTATACTTGGTCTAGTTGATTCATCAAATGTATATAATGAAAGAACACGTGCCTGTTTTCCAGCTCATCGAACATTTAAAATTTATGGTTCATTCGTTGCTTTTTTTATTCCATTAATTATTATGATTGTTACGTATGCATTAACAATGAGTGCATTACAACAAGCACATTCAACAAAGAAAAAACGTCATACAAGGCGACAAAAAATGCATGCTGTTATTAATTTAGCTACGATGGCTATGAGATGGAAACGAGCAGTTAATAATGATAGTAATGATGATGAAAAAGACTCTATACAATCAACATCAATAAGATCTAAACAAAAAATTCAATCATTAAGTTTAATATCTGTACCATTAAATTATCATCGTAAACGTGCATCATCGTTACTTGTTAACGAGCAATATTCATCAGGTCGTAAACATTTATCAAAACGTATATTTGTTTCTAATCATCGTCTTAATGAAACATCAAAACCATTGGCACCTATAACATGGTATAAACGACGAGAAAAACATCTTCAAACATTACCTGAAAAGTCTAGTAAATAAAGAGAATTGCTGTTTTACTTTTTCGTTGTTCTTCATTTATCTGTTTCTTTTTTTCTTGCTTAGTTGAACAATCATCTCCATCGTCAAATCGTCATCTTGATCTTGATTTACCAATAAATCTCAATACACATACGAAACGTTCACATTCATATACACCATTACTTGAGGTTGAAGATCGTCGAAACGATCGACGACGAAGTTCATCTGTTCATACATTACTTCAAATACGTCGAGATTCAGCTAAAATAAGTGAAGAACTTGCTAATTTAACAGCTCAATTATCTGCATCTATGAATACCGAAGGTTTATTAAATAAACGACCATCACTTTCTGTTCCTCGTACACCAAGACATGAAACACCAATAATTAATCAATTACTTGCACCAACAAATATTAATCAACCAATTGTTAGTTCGACTTCATATCTTACTGTTGAGACAAACTCTATGTCTGCTGCTACTGACCAAGAACAACGTGGGCGTTCGTAAGTTTTTTTTTAAATAAAGAGGAAAGGTGTCCAATTTTTATTTCTTGACGTTACAGAACATGAAGCCACGAAGCTTCTATAAGCTTAAACATTTGTTTCTTGTCACATCAGATTGATAGATTTGTTCTTGCATAAACTTGAAATTTTCTATAGACAAGATAATGAGTTTTTTATTACTAAATATCAGATCATATGTCAGCAATGCCTTGAAATGTCGTCTCTTAATTATAAATGAAGAAGAACTATTGAAGAAATCTGAGCTAGATAAATTAAAAGCTGTTGCCAAAAAATTTCTTTGCCTTTAGCAACTAAACTCATATGTTTATTAAACATTTGTAGTTTAGTCTACAAGACTACAATGGTCTTTGTTTTGTAAACAGTACTCCAAGGATATTATTCTTTCTTTTTCTTTTTCGGTAAAACCAATGAAAGAAACTTTTTCTTTAAGTAAATGTACTTTGGTAGAAGTGTTGAATTTATTTCAAATCTATTAAGTGCGAGTTCAAAATCAGAAGCTTTAATGTTGTTGCATAAATACGAGGATAAAAAAACGTCTATGACTTCCGCTCATCTTTTCAACCTTCTAGTACAAATTTTATGAGTAATCTTGAACTTATCCTAGATTTAAACCATTCTCCTACGTATGTCTGAAGCTACATATTTCTTTTCTTTTAGACATAGTGCAGGAATCCAATTATCATCATTCGAACCAAATGATGATAAAATAACTATGAATAATGGTTTACCTATTCCGAATCTTCTTGTTACACATGATAGTATACACAATTTACAGGCTAATGTAAATAATAATAATAATAATAATAACAATAATCCAGCAAATCTTAATATTAATTATAATCATGAACCTATAACACGTCGTCTTACATCACCATCAAAATTAGATACAACATGTCAACGTATTAAAGATTGGATTACTATTACAACATTTTCAACAGCTTTCGATCACGATTCGACTGTGAAATCACGTTGTGTATCAGCTATGAATGTTACAGAAACAACACCAATGTTATCGGGACAAAAACACTATTCACATAATTCTCCATTATCAAATCTTAAACGATATTTTCCTCGTATTGAACAATTATATGGACCAACATCAGCACCAAACTCAATAGCTCGTGCACAACAACAACAACAACAACTTTTACTTGTTGATGATCATGTTGCATCTGTTCATAATTTTGCTGCTATGCAACGAAGTAGTGTTTGTTCAATAACATCATCCACATTAACAGCTCGATTTCTTCATACACATCGACCAAGTTTATCATCATCACTTGGTTCAGGATCTCAACAAGGTCCACGAATGCGTCCACCACGTCTTCATGATGGAATGTCTCAAGCTAGTTTTCAAATGGTTTCATTAGATACCGAAGATTCATCATCAGGTTCATCAAGTCTTACACATCAATCAGCAAATATACAAGCTGTAACAGCATTAGTCGGTTCTCCAACATCGTCAACATCTGGCCGTAAACATCCAACATTTCGAAATTTAACAAAAACTTCAGCAACTAATGAACGTAAAGCAATGCGTGTTTTATTAATTATTTTTTCCATATTTGTCATATTATGGACGCCATTTTTTATTATTAATCTTTTATCATGTTTTATTACTAATATTCATCCAATATTTATATCAGTATCAACATGGCTTGGCTATTGTTCATCGGGTGCAAATCCAATAATTTATACAATATTTAGTCGTGCATTTCGACGAGCTTTTGTTAATATATTAACATGTCGAAAAACGATTACTTCACATCGTTCACAAATGTTTAGTCCATCATGTCATTCGATGACAATGTCAGTCGCTCGAAAAATGTCTACAGTTAGTAAAGGACAAGCTGATGTACATTAAAAAACATATATTTGACATCTACGTCTGTATTCTTTGTGATAAATATATGTATTATATATGCATATATTTATTTATTATATTTATTTATATAATTATACACAAAGCTTTGTTTTTTTCTTTCCAATGTCAAATAACACTTTGTCCATTCTATGAAAATATATAGTAGGCCAATGTCAAATTAAGTATTCATAGATACCAATATTAACTTACAGCAGATGGTGAATGTTGAATGAGTGTGTTTCTATAAGCACAATCATTATTGTTTACAACATAATGAAACTATTTTTGGATTGATTAAATAAACTCAGTGATCTGATAAGAAAAAAGAACAATTTTCTAGTTCAGCTCCTTTTGCGGGTGAAATGTCGACCTGACATATTTCGTATAAGCTAGCAGATAATATTGTATAAATTTTTCTTTTGATGTAATAAAATATACTTTCAAGTTTGAAACAATTGAAGTAAAACAATAAAAGATTTATTTGTTTATTAATACTGATCGAACATTACTGAAAAAATGTGAAATCAGTTTTCAATATGATGAAATTGCTTATAGGATCTTTAATGTATAAAAATGAATACAATATTAGCTAACTTTATTTTTCATCAAATAGCAACAATCTTGTTTTTATAATATGATGACGAACAAAAAATTCATGATAATCATCAAAATAAATGAAATAATAAATGATTTTAACGATGCTTCTCACGAATTGAGATCACTACGGTCAGATACTGAAGCATTAACTGCAATAAGAAAAAAATATTGCCTCACTATTTACCACTGCTCATTTTAAAAAGAAGGCGGATGAGAATTTTTTTAATAACTTTTGATAGAAACAAGAGAGAGACCTGCGGTTCTCACCTGTAGAAAGAGAAGATGAAGACGCATAAAATTGTATATTACAAGCTTTTTTTGACTTGGTTCTTTTATTAAGGTTTTCAATCATTTTTTCGTTAAAATTAATTTATCTTGTGAAGTGATTCTAGTGAATTTTCAATTATTAGGCATGGAGCCCAAACCACCAATAGAAGATCTACAAAGCTATGCAAACCTTAGATTTTTAGATCTAATTATTCAGGAGTCATAGATATTCTAGTCAAAACTCTCGGTCGATTTTTTTTTTAAATAAATTTGATGAAAACAATTTTAGAAAACATCTACGGAGGTTCTAAAATGCACGATTCTATGTGATTTCATCGTCTCTTTCTAATGGAAAAAAGTGCCGCGCTCTCTTTTGTTTCTATCAAAATTTATTTAAAAACAATACCACCCATTTTTTTAAAAATCGACACTGGTACCTCAATTCTGCACTCTTTTGTTTGGTTGCTTCTCTTCTTGATCATTGCATCTGGATGCAGTATTAAAATGATTGATTTATTCCTCCTAAGGTCTGTAATCAGGACGGGAGAAGCCGAATGTTACCAGATGGAAAAGTTAAAACTTGAAATTTTCGCAATGAAAATTCGGAAAGTAGCTATTCAACGTCTAAATACATATATTGCCTTTTATTTTATTGAAATATGTTTTTCTCTATCGGCATTTGATATGAAAACTGTTTGTGACATAGTTTATTTTTCTTCTTCAGTCTCAACTATACCTGTATCTGAATCTTAGAATTCATCATCCACGGCTGAATCTAATTTAGTTCAATATGTTAGAATTATGATGTGAAAAGATCGTTCTTAAATTTAAACCTTAGTTGATATTGAGGAAATCGTTTATTCAAATGGCTTCTTTGTTCAGTTTAGTTTGGAAAGACTTTCGATTCAAGAGAGTGTGTATCGTTAATAGTTTCAAAGCTTTGTAACATATGATGGTTAAGTTTTATAACGATGGTGCGTTAGTTGCTCGAAAGAGTTTATTTCGAAGTTATAGTCAAACTCATAAAAGCTCGAGTTTTACTAAATACAAATCTCGAAAATCATCCGAAATTCGGAATTTCTTTTGCAATTTCGAAAGATCTAGCAAGCCTAGGAAAGTTGCAAACCTCTAATTTAGAATTAACATTCACTATTTTCGTTGAAAATATATGTGAATTCTACAAAAGAAAAGGGATGACTTTGAATACTTGAATACGATAGTTAATTATTGAAATACATAGAATGTATAAGAAAATATCAATATTATATGAGGATAATATTATTATTTTCTTGATATAATTGAATTTATGATGTGATTTTTTTTGTAGTGCATCTATATTCTATCAAATTAGGAAAATATATGATTGTAAATGTCGTGAATACTTATTTTTAAAGATTAATAAACTTGAAAAATGATTATCAAAATACATCGTATATAATTAAATGGTTTTATCCATATGTCAATAGATTCGTATCATAATGAAAAGAACCTAAATGATTAACAGAATTCCGAAATATCTTTAACATTTTTTTTCTCTACTTATTTATGTGTGAGAATAATAAAATGTTTTTCTAATTTTAACAAATCTACTCTCTTTTAATGCTATTCAGATATTTTGTTTATTATACATTAAGTATGGTGCCATTTTTTTCAGGAATTTACTTAAAATATTAAACAAGTGAATTGTTGAGACGTAACTTTCATTCTTTCAAGTTTCTTTTATAGTAATTTTTATTGACCTTTCTCCATATAAGATGTTTAATAACCAATATGCAAATGAAAACAAAAGGTTTATGAAATTTCAGCAATGAAATTATGTTTTTTTTTCTTTGATTTGTTCATCATTGACTTTTACAAATCCTTCTATTAGTTTTAAATAGTATTTGATGAGTACTACTCGGAGTTTCTCTGTATCTCTCGATACAATGACACAATATAAATACGATCGTTTATGTTTTATTTAGATTTTATGCGTCATATGTACCTAAGGCCAACCTCCTAATCTAAATTCGATTTGACATACACTGCAGAGGATATTGATGAGACTTTCTGAAGATATTTAGCCAATGAAAGTGCACCAATAAAAATTTTTCTTAGCTCCAAACTTTTTCTTTTAGCAGATTTCCGAGGGTCAATATGCTAAATAAGGTTTTTATGCGTAGAAATACTTTTTTTCCAACACTCTTGAGGCTATTGTGCTCGAGCGACTTTCATTTGCAAGAGAGCTTCTTGTCACTGTGGAAGAAGGAGTGAACTTTTTTATTTTGAATTTTTTTCACTTTTGGAATCCTGAAAACATTAATACTCCAAAAACAAATCTTACACAAGGCTTCCTAGAGGGTGTGGATGTGCTTTTTTTTTCATTGTCATGTATCTTCTATCGACAATGACTTTACAGTTACAGACACAAACAGAATTTTATGTTTCTTACTATTTATCACAAACCATAAAGAAAGTCAACAATTTCAAAAAAAAAATATTATGTTTCATAAAGAGTCGAAACATTTTATTTTCTTTCGACTCGAATTATAATTTTTGTTTTATCGTTACTAAATGTTATTAGCAACTTCTTTTGTTTAAACCAATCATTGAAAATAATTTAATTACAACTGATTTTAATTTGGGTTTGTTATAGATTATATTATTTCTGTGAATATAATTTTTCTTGTAAAAAGTATGCATAAATTGATGAGTTTAAAAAGAAATTAATAAAACCTATTCGAATTCTGTTTCTATCGAAAATCGTGCATCTATTTACTTTTATATTTAAAATTGAAAAATAGGAATTCATTCTATTTTTTATACATTCCATTGGACTTGTTGTGTCATCGTAATACTTATTGTTAGATTTTTCAGTTATTTTATTCAAACTCAGCCATTTAAATACAAAATATTTGAAAAAAATCCAACTATGGTATCACATTGTTAGTATTATTTTCAGATTAACGATGCATTCTTTGGCACAAACAAATTTAATAATTCAAGGACACACTCAGTTGGAATAATTTTAAGTGTTTTCTTTTTGTTTCATGCTTGCGTAGATTTCCTATTTAAAAATGTTGAAAATTGAAAGTATAGAAATGAATAAGATTGTCAATATGTCAACAGTATCGTGCCGAAACGAAAAGAAATGGTAGTGTCAACAACCTTTCGAGTCACTTTTTACTTTTTTTTCTTTCTACTTATGCATTAGAAATGTTATTCGAAATATTCTATGATTTCTCCAAAATAAACAAACATACCGGCGAGTTGAGTTTTTTTTCTTTTTGATGTTTTCATATTTTACTAAGCATCGTCTTCTATGAACAATGACTTCACAAAGAAAAAGAAGTGTAAGTGATTAAAAAAATTGATTCTCATTTTAACAATTTGATTGATTTTTCGTTAAAATCTATAAAAAATGATGTTGTCCTATTTGTTAGTTTGATTAATTTAGATCGAAAGGATGTTTTTTTTAATAAATAGTAGCTTCTTATAAGAAAACCTCCTTTTTCTTGATAATGTACTGAAAAAAATATTTTATTAGTTAACATGTGATCTAAGAATCCTTTAAAATGTATATTGATTAAATAAACAATTCAACAGTTTGAAACAATAAGTTTTCAAACTGAATCATTAAAGCATAATCGCAATTTCTTATTAAAATAGTTACAAAGAAATCATCATTGACCTTTTCTTTTTCGTTCACTTTCACATACATGAGTGAAAGCACAATACTGTTTGTTCTTAATTAAAAAAATATTGTCATCAATAGATTATTTGTTGATTCTTTATAATAATGTCTCCTTTGACATTGTTCTGGATAGTTTCTATCGGTTAGTTGTAGTATGTATTTTTCATGATACTAAGTAAAATTAGTACAACTGTAGTATTCTTTTTCATTATTCTTTGAGATACAATGTCAATAGTACCTCAAAAACCATTGGCAGCAACTACAAGTCGTTTATTCATCAAGTATTGATAGAGCACATAACAATAGCCGTTACCACCTTAGGAAAGTGGTTAGAATCAGCATTCATTTTTCTTTGGAGAATTCTTTTATAGAACATTTTACACTAATATAAACATTAATTATATACCTAATCAATTCTTCAAGGTTTTATGAAGAAGAAAATGTCGAATACGATTATTAGAGCCTAAAATGATATATAACAGTCTGCATTGTGGAATGTTTCAAGCATTTGCATGCACTCTCCATTATTATTGTTCTCATTTGAGCAATATTTGATACTGGCTAATACTAGTGTTCAGTGAGTCAAACACATTTTGATGATACAAACACTTATTGGCACGATAAAAGAAATAATCGAATGACATGTAGCTTTGTTGTGAACTTTTTTTTGGTGGAACTCGCATGTGCTATTCCCTATCATAAGCTTACAATAAATTGGCACAACAGTCAAACTGTTGTAAAGCACGAACCGTGATTTATCTATTTACTTCAAATGTATTGTCTCGATCAGCTCTAGGATCAGCAATGCAATTGCTGATTTCGCTGTGCACTTCAATAAGAGTTACTCATAGAAATTAATCAACAACAGAAGATAAATGAGATTCATGAACGATTGGAAATCTGAGTCAACATCGAAATAGATCCGCATGACTTTCTATTGAAGATATACAGGCATTGATAGATCCATTATTATAAAGCAGGAAAAACGTGATCGTTAGAAAAACTAATAGTCAAGCCGTTGTTTTTTTCTTTTACATTTACCATCATGAATAATAATTAGTTTCATTTCATCATTTTACTTCATTTTCTTTTCATTATTTATCTACAGAAATCGTCATGACTGAATGCTTAATGATATCATTTATGTTGATAAAAAATGACATATTCTAACGTTGACACCATCCAGTTATAGACTAGCCTTTAGCAAATTATTCAAAACTAGTGGCTTAGATCATCTGTCAACTAGTATATATATGACATTGCGACATATATTTCCTGCTTCAATATATCCTTGTAGTATATTTTCGAGAGACAGTCAATATATTGATAGGAAGTGTGTATAGAAAACTGCATGAGTGAGAAGAACTCTGTGCTAGATCATGCTTTTCTTCAGTATTACAGTTTGATGATCATTTAAAACATGTGTGACTAGTCATGAAATCTATCTACTATAGTAAAAATATGTGGCTTATCAAAACCATGTTGGTAACGTCCTATATTAGCAACGGTTTTCTGAAAAGCGAGATATATTCTTCGCCTTCTATTTATCTAAAATAATTTGTGTTTGACTTTGTCAGATAATAAATATCAATATTTATCAAAAATTATGGAGACAACTGTTGAAAGAAATAATAATCTGAGTTGTTTTCAATCATGAAAAATAGACAATGTAACATAATTGACAATCTTTAAGGAAAGATCCTTTCAATTAACTCAAGGAGATCATTCTGCATTTATCAAAGCATCATACTAGATAACCTTATGACTATATATCTATTCAATTATATTCAATGCATACTACGTAGTAAATTCACTGTATTCTAGATGGATTGGAATACTTTGCCGGATGCTATAATACATATATTATGATATATAGCAATAGATGATTACATATGACAGATATAGATTAATATCTATAATCTCTACACTTAGTATCTATAATTATGCATGATTGCACTAGAATTAATTATACCTATATATGTAGAAAAAGCATATTGATCACGCAGCAAAAATTATTAGTTTCCTTATCACCTACACTTTTTTCTTCACGCATTCCAGTTATACCTATGAAATTGCGAAAAAATTCAATTTTATTAGTTGAAAGATTCAATAAAATAAATATATTATATGATTGGAATGTGTACTCAAAACAAAAACGACCTGAATTATTCACATTTTCTCAAAACAAATAAATATTAAAAAAATAATTATTTCTATGTTGACTAAAATACCATAAAAATTTCCTTGTCTGTATATATTCAGATCTTTATTTCTTCCATTACATGATATATCAGAAAATGTGACTTGCTTCATATATTATATGAAATCAGTCAAATTATCGTTAGTTAGGTGAGTGAATGTGGGGGGTGTCTACTTCATTCTCTCCATTTTATTATATAATACTATTCTGTGCTTTGATTCATTGTACACAACTTAAGAAGAAGGAACGGTTACTTTTATGACTAAATAGTGCAATAGAACTTAGAAATACCTAAAGTACAATGCTCTCATCATGATTTCATTAGTGTCCATTTATCTTACATACCACGTGGAGAACATTAGTACGATATAAGACATTGCACGTTAGTCATGACCAATATAATGGTAAACCCGATGCTCTATCAAGAATGCTAGATCTTGTTCAATTTTAGATATGTTGTAGAAGTAAGATTTTTATAAATTTTGATGCAAGTCGTTTTCAAAAATATTTAATTTTCGATCTTTAATCGATGTTTTATGAAAAATTCCCAAAATTACAATTTTCAAAAGGTTTTTTTCTAGACTGTATTTCAAGAGCAGCTCATCGGATAGAACTGGAACTTTTATAATTTTCTACACTAGTGAGAACAAGAATCGTCTTCATGGAAAAAAAATGAGAAGTTCAATTAGATAAATCCTTACTTCGGGATTCTGATCAATGATACAGTCTAGCATTTAGCATACCAATCACAGAAGTTTCGTTGGAGAATTGATTTAGTATTGCCTTCCATTAGTCATCCAAACGCACTATTTCAAAAAATTCGAAAAAATTATTACATAGACTAAATGCGACTGCATCTGTGCTATAAATGTCAGGATGCGTCACCAAAAGTCATAGTTCATATTACAATCGCTACACAACCTAAAACTAATAACGGTGCTCTCGAAAATTTAATCTCTTTAATTTTTAGCTACCCACAAAATTTTGAAATATAAATATAGCTGACCTAAAATTAATCAGCAGCCCCAATGTAACAATGATCATTATTTAATGGAGTTTGTTTCATTTATGATCCTAACATCTTTCTATTGTATGAAACAAATAAGAGAACAATTTTACACGATGGTGTTTCCAAATCCATGATGTTTGAGCTCTGACGTCTGACTTTCGAATTTTTTTATATCAATAGATCAGGGTTTGTAGTACTGAGTTATCGTGTTGCTAGTTGAATTTGTACTGAATGCCATGATTTTAATTTTTCCGTTTGTCCTATGCAACTATTACAATATACACAGACTTATGGTAACGTTTTCTGTCATCTACGGTCAGGATATAATGATCTTTTGGTTGTAAAATGATTTTTTTTTAGTTTTAAAAATACCAACTGTGAGTCGTCAGTCATAAAAATGCTAAACAAATTTCTCATTGTACCTCTTCTACGAAGGACATAAAACTTTACATTTTATTATCAGTTTCTACTACAGAACAAAGATTGCTTTCTTATTAGTCTTTATTTTTTCTACAAACGTGACTCTTGTTCTCAGCCGTTTCCAGAAAATTCAGGCTGATTTTTACTTGAGAGTTTAGACCAAAGTAGACACTTCGAACTATTCCATTCCTTGGGAGAAAGTTTGTATGAAAATCACATTTTTCATCAACAATCCGACTTTGAGAAACGATCTTCTAATTGAACACAATGTGGTATAAATCTCAAATTTTCATTGAAGATATATCTATATTAGTTGCAACTCTAGTTAAAACCTCAGCTTGATATTACTTTTCAATCAGGAGATATGAAGCGTTAAAATAGTCTTAAAATATTGATTTTTCTTTTTTTTTTTCAGAAATTCATAAAATACGAAAGGCACAAATATTTCAATTGAATTTTCTTTTCTGGCTAGAACTCACTAATATATATATTTATAGAAATTTCAGCCCTATCCGATGAGCTTTTTCTTGAAATATAGAGCCTAGAAAAACAACTTTTCGTAAAAACTCTTACTTCTACAAAATATCTTAAAATTGAGTCGATTGACTCAGATGTCGGTCGCGGCTTACGTGCAATGGCTTATATAAATCACAATGTACAATAGATCTTAACGAAAAAAAAAATTACTTTAGAATAATCTTCTAAAGAAATTGGCTTATAGAGCTAATTATTAGCAAAATTAAGATTATTATTTCCATCGACAGACTACGACCTCTACAGTTTATGATAGATTGCAAAGAACAAAATTAAAGCAATGGCCAAACATAATCTAGCTTACTTAGTTAGTTATTTGTCTATTTTTTGGGCGTCATCTCCTCTATCTTTGGACTCATTTTGATCGATCAATGTCTTATTTGCAAATGTAAATCTAAGAAGGTTTTTTGTTATTGATTCCTGTTCTTTTTTCCACTTCGTTTTGCCTATTATCTATCCTTGAACATGATTCGAATTGATTACATATGACTAACGTATTGCTGTAATGTTTATCCATATATGAAGGATGTCTGTTCTTTTACTTGTATGTGTGTATGCTATTTTTTACAATGTTAGTAGATGCACTTTTGATCAGCAATAGAAAGTTAATATTGTGCGATAAGCGGGTAGTAAGCACTACTATAAAAGAAAAAAAAACAGAAAAGAAAAGTGTTGTCTATTATTTCTGTTGACTGAGTCATTCTTCTATACTCTTTTCTTTTTTTTTTGCTTCTCCTTCTTCAAGAGATGGAAAAAAAACATCCATAAACAAAAAATAAAGCTGTTGCCTACTGTTGACATTTAACATTTCATGACTCAAGAAAATATTCTGTTATTTTTTTTTGTTTTCTTTTTATTAAAAGATGAGCGTTTATAATCATCGTTCAAGTATAGTTAATTTAAATCAATTAGTAACAAATATTCCAGTACGGCGAAAAGCAGCCGATCAAGTTGAACGAGATAAATTTGAATGGAGTCAGGTATTTATATTCTTGTTCTTTTTTTAAATTAAAAACAAAACTACGTACAATTGGTTTTTTTTAGTGGCAAAGTGCTACGAAAGCTATCAATAGTGTTGAAACACCAGCTAAAGAGAAACATGTTCGAAGTAAGAAAACTGCATGTGTTCATTATTCATTTTGTTCTCTTTTTGTTTGTTTGTTTCATTTAGATCTTATTCTTGGTACATTCCGACTTGAAGGTGCTCGTCTTTTTTGGTCGATGATGACAAGACTTCAACTTGAGTCGCATCCAATTGTTTGCTGGAAGTTTTGCTATGTTATGCATCGACTTTTAAGAGATGGGCATAAACATGTAAGTCATTAAGACTAACAATATCATTGAATAAAAGATTAACGCGTAAACATTTTCAAGTGATCCATCACTTTTGAATTCGAACTCAATGCATAGAGTTCAGTGAGATGTAAAAAAGCCTCAAAATGAGAAAACTTGATGAAACCTTCTACTGAGAGAGAGTTATAGGGTGTTTTAATTAGAATTTCGGCCTTTGGCTTGATATATGTCAACAAATCGAGTGATGATATTTTTGACTTGATATTTGCTTACAGATAGATCTATTTGTCAGTAGAATGTTGTGAAAATTTCAGCCCAAAAGTATATTGCCTTTCCGAGAAATTAAAGTCTTCAACAAGACAGAAACTTTTAACAATTTTTCATGGAGTATGAATAATTTTTGGGACTTAAATATCTCAGGAAAGAAACATTATTTTGAGTTGAAATTTTCAAGACATTCTACCAACAAATAGACCTGTTCGTGGGCAAAATCTTAGGTCGAAATACCGATATTCGATTTGTTCGTATAGGTCAAGCTAGAAGCTAAAATTCTAATTATAATGCTTATAATTCTGAACAAAAGTCCTAAGAGAATTTATGCTTTTGAGATTTTTCATATATCCCTGAAGTCGAGCTATCAAATCATTAAAATTTTCGATTATTTATTTTCATTTTTGAATTCGTTTCTAAAATTTTCTTCTATAGGTTGTCAATGATTCTGTTCAATTGGCACCTTATTTCGAACAATTAGGCAAGTTTTGGGTAAGTATATCATCTAACAATGACAAATAAATAAAAACAATATTAAACATTAAACTAATATATACATTAAGTCACCTTTATCAGAAACGGAATTATCAGGAGGAAGTCAAATGGTTTGTAAAAGAATGATTTCAATGCTCGCTCCTATGCACATTTGTCAATATGTTTTCTTTTTGTATTCAATTATACATATTTTGTTTTATTTCATTTTTCTCATCAATGTAGAGTGCTCTTCGACAAAGTTATGGTATAATGACTTATCGTTATTGTCGTTTAATGATATCAAAATTAACATTTCATGAAAGAAATCCAGTATTTTTGGGAAATTTATCAATCGGTGAACATAATGATATTCGACGTGTATTTACTGATAATTTAGATGCATATTTTCAATTATGTATTGAATTGCTTGATTATATGGAAGAACTATTAGGTCTTGTTGAAGCAGTTTTTACGTCACTTGATCAATCACGTGCTAATTCAATGACAACAGCTGGTCAATGCCGTCTTCATCCACTTATTATATGTATACAAGATTCAAGTTTACTTTATGATTATATTGTTAAAGTTCTTTTTAAACTTCACGATAGTAAAAAAAACACATGTTTTTCTTTTATTTTAATCATAATTGTTTTTTTCTTTCCATTGTAAAATTTAGGTTTACCTGGCGATACACTTCAAGGACATAGACAAAGATTAATAGATCAATTTCGAAGATTAAAACGTTTTTATGAGCAATCATCAACATTGCAATATTTTAAAGATTTAATTAAAGTTCCTGTATTACCTGATGTATGAATATATTTCTTGCTTAACTTTATCTATGAATATTGATGTTCTGTTTGATTTTTTAGAGTCCACCAAATTTTAAATTAAAAGATGATATTAAAAACTATCAAACTCCAGTTGCTATTGTACACACACCACCACCTGAACCAGTGCAAATTCACGATGGAGTTCTTATTGATACATCTGATGTAAGAAAAATAAAATAAAAGATTGAAAAGTTGTTTTAAACAATCTATAGACCTAATAGAATTTTATCCAATATATGTTTTCTATTTTCAAAAATACCAATAATCAACGAAATCAAGAATTTTGTAAAACCCATAGCTATGTAAAATGATGAAAAACATGTTTAATAATAACGTATTTTTCTATAATGTTAAGGTCACCGTAATTTCTATGACCTTTCGTTAAAAGTCGAAAGTATCATAAAAAAAGATGTCTTTTAGTCAATTTTTAGATAATTTGTTTTTACAAGTTTTGTCATGCTTTTAAATTTTGTAAGAAAAGCTCGTAGAGAATGTGATGACAGGTCATTTTGTTTTCTTTAGAATGGCATAGCTCTGACAAAGCCTTCTAAGACCTGAAAAGCACCGTGATGGGTTTTTTTATGCACCGTGTCATCATATTGCATCTAGTAGAATGTATTAGATAGAAAATTCCATTGACTACTAAAATCACTAACTGGATTTGAGCTAATTGCTTAACACTATAGAAAAATACATTGTTGTTAAACTTTTTTTCCGTCAATTTACAAAGTATTGTAATGACTTCAGATCTATCTTGTGTAAACAAAATGATATAAATGTCAATGTAATAGCAAAATTTTATTCAACGATTAAATTCCTAAACAAAAGTCCTGTATTTTCAGTTTTGAACTACAGCTATAAAAAATTTCCTCAGTTTATATTGATTATGAACTTCTCGTGACTAATTTAATTTTGCTTGTAAATAAGGTTTATAGCTTTTTTTTGCTTTTATTATCTAGACAATGTCAACCTTAAGTTTTCCAATGAATGATGATTGGCCACCTAATGGACATGTAGTTGATCGGTTTGTATATGAAAAAAAAAAAAAATTATCCTTCTCTTTTTTGAAAAATCTATTCTAAATAATAGGTCAAAAGAAATAGCTGATTTGGAACAACGATTATTAAAAGTAAAAATAAAAATTTCATATGATTTATGGTTTTTTAATATTATGTTAATATAGTGTGATGCAATGTTTCGAGAAAATCGTGCGGAAACTGATGAATTACATCGACTTATTGCTGCTAAAGATACAGAATTAATTACTGAAAGAAATGTATTATGATAATTTCATAAAATACTTTGTTTTTCGTTATTAAAATGTTTTTATTTAGCATCGTTTACAACTTGAAGAACAACTTCGTCAACAATTAGATAATCAACGACGTATGGAAGAAATGCATGCACTTGAAAGTATGTATAAAGTTTTTTACCATACAACTTCAAATTATTATTATTATTATTTTTATGAATTTAGAAAAATCGAATTCCGATGAAAAATTTAATAAATTACTTGAAGCTTATAATAAATTACGTGAAGAACATATTGTTGTTTTACGTCGTGTATGATTGATTTTCTATATTTGTTTTCTTTAATTTCGAAATTTGTTTCCGATTTAGGAAGGTGAAATTAAAAAACAATTAGCAAATTTAAATCAAGAATATACACAATTAAAAACAGCTTATAAAGTACGAATATTAATATTTCAGTTGAAGTATGCTGTATATGTATTTTAGAAAATCGATGAGGAATTTAATCAATTAAAAATTGATTATGAACAATTAAAAACGAAAAAAGATGACGAACTTAATCAAGAAATAAGTCAATTACGTCAAACAAATGATGTAAGTATAAGAAAATAAATAAAAAATGTTTTATTAAAATATATATTTTTGTCTCTCCGCATGCGATTAGGAAATTTTTATGAATATGAATAATATAAAATCTGAACGAGATCGATTCGAAAAGGAAATCGAAGATAATAGAATAAGATTGAATGATAGTGATAATCAACGTCAAGTAAATTCTATGTTGTGCTATTGAAAAATACTTGAGACAAATTTTTTTTTTAATATCTTAGAATCTCGAAAAGACTTTACATGCAGAGACAGCACGTGCGACAAATCTAGAACGTACCATCGAAACACTTACACGAGAGCTTAATGAAAAGAAGCAAGTTCTACAACATGAAATGACAAGTTTCGAAAATCAAAGCAAAGTATTAAACAAATAATAAACAAAGTACATTATTGTATTTTGTCTATCTATTGAGATACTCGTCGAACACGAAACAAAACAAAATGAATTAGAAGCTACATTAACTCAAATGTCTAGACTTATAAATGAATATGAAAATACAGCGACAGTATGATAGAAATAAATTCATCAATGTATATATATACATAGATAAGATGAATTAAATTCATTATTTATAGATAAATAAGAAAAAAATAGAAGAATTTCAATTAACAAATAAAACATTGGAAACTACTTTACAGAACAAAACAAATGAGTTTAATAATATAATTAACAATGTTCAACATGAACTTAATGATGTTGAACAAAAAAATAAAGTAAAATAAAGAAAAAAATTAAACTTATTACATGTTTTAAGTTAAACAATTTTATGTTTATTCTTTCTAAAGAATTTACTAACTATAATTGAACAGTTAAAAACTGTAAATTCGACTAATGATGCTAAATTAATCGAATCGAATGGCATCGTAACAGAATTGCAACATACAAATAAGGTATTCTTTGCTGCTAATGATGATTCATTATTTTCATTGCTAATATATATTAATTGTTAGCAACTTGAAAAACAATTAGAACAATCAAATCGAGAAAAAGAACAGTTTCAAAAAGATATGATCGAGCTAAAAAAACTAATGGAAACGCGTGAGAGTGTAAGAGAATAAGAAAATTATTGATTTTTTTAATCTCATGTTGATTTTTGTTTTTGCTTTTATTTAAATAGGAATTACAAGAAAGAATATCGGCATTAACAAACGAACGTAATGATTTTCAAACAGCTACAGTAACAACAACAGAACGTATTAAACAAATTGAACATGCTAAACAAGTAAATATTTATACATAAAAAAAAAGAAAAGAAATATTGAAGTCTTGGTTTTTTTTAGAGTGCAGAAGATCGATATAAAGAATTAGAAAATGAAAAATCATTAATTAACAATACATTAAAAAATGAAAAATCTGAATTTGAAAAACGATTAAATGAAGCCGAAACTGAACGTCGAGATTTATTAGATAAAAATCGAGTAAACAAAAAGAACAGAACAAATTATTTTTATTAAATTAAATTAATTATTTATTTTGTTTTTCAAGGAACATGAAGAAAGTTTAATGGATTTAATTCATGAAAAAGAAGAACTTGAACATAAAATACTTGATTTAGAAACAGCAGCACGTGAATGGGCACAAAAATTTATTAATACAACAGATAATCAAAAATTAATGCAAACAAATCATGCAAATATGTTAAATAATTTAAAACAACAATACAAATGTAAAATTAATCTTCAAAAGATAAAATATTTGTTTATTTCTTTTTTAAAGATTCAATTTTAACATTTTGTATCAATCAAATGCATGATGGTATTGAACGTACGAAAGATGTTGAATTATTAAATTGTAAGAGTGGTGCTGAGTATCTTTTATCGAAACTTCGAATGGCTGTTACAAGTACAAAAACAACACAAGATTTATGGAACAAACAAGTCTCTGGAGATGAATGTTAGTATTATTATTTTTATTTAATTTTCTTGATTTATAATACACTTATAACATTAAGAAAATTTCTATTGATTCAATTTTGCAAATCTATTTACTGTAATTGAGTTAATCACAAAACTTAAAGTATGACAATACTTTTGAACTTATGATTTCAGTACACATATGTGACATTTGACAATGCTAGGATTCATAACGTTTTTTTTTTGTATAATTTTTGTCATTTGGTGAGAAGTATGGCATGATGACTGATATTGTCTTGCCAATCAAATGAAAGAATTTATAAAATATCTGTCAGACAAATTAAACAGAATTTTTACAGGGTCTCAAAACAAAAATTAGAATAAAGAACTGGTCTTTAGTTAAAGTAAAATATCTCTAGTATGGGCACCATCCGGACTGATCAAAAGTGCTTACTCTACGGAGGTGCTCATTATTAGGAAGTTTTCAATTTCTTTTTTGCAACTTATAAGTATTCAGTTGCAATCGCTTGTCGGCTACAGAAGGTAATTTTTTTCTCTTTCCAACAATTATGTAGTTGAATGCTTTTTAATCAGAGTAAATCAACTCGTGTTAACACAATTTGATATTCCTAGCTGTTAACGTAAAAAAATAACACAATGTTGTTTTTGTCTCATATTACTAGTTTTCTTTTAAATATCCACGGCTAGTTCATCTCCCTTTTCTATATGTCCTATGATTGTTTATTATAATGCAATACACCTAACATCATCTTTTTGGCTCGCTCTGTACGTGAATCATAGAACATCTGTTGCTCACATCGCAGAGATTGTTATTACTTTTGAAACCAGGAATAAGTACCCACTACTGAGAATAAGAGATGCTTATATTTAAGAGGCTCATTCGAAACAAAAGTCGCTTCGGCGAAGTATCGGCTACCATTGTCAAGTTCACAAGTATTCTCAATTGAAATCTAGTTTGTCTCAATAAGTTCCGATAAAAAACAAAAACAATTTTTAAGCTTATGTTTATTTGACTAGTATTTTCTATTGATGTTTATTTGTCTTGGAATTTGACCTGAGTCATAGATAATATTTAACGTATGAATATATTATGTTGTTTAATTTTATTGAGTTATATTTCAACGAAAAAGCAATGAAGGACTTTTATGGGTTCCCTGTGAGAGAATAACAATTTTTTTTCTCTGAAAGTTTGATGCTGATAAAATGAATATGTTAATTAACTTGTTGATAAAAATACTTTCAGACGTTATTTTTTGATGTTAACGCAGAAGAAAGCATTCGTGCATACATTAGCATATGAATGTATGGAAATGAATACTTAGTCTATTAAGAAACAACAAGACGTGCTAGTTTAGCTTAGTTAAAATAAAAATTAGAATTTATTTTTAAATGAAAGAAAATTATTTTGTAGTTTTAAGCTTAATTAAAAATCAAATCTGCCTGAATTTAATTGTATCCAAAAATTCAAATTTTACCTGTGACACATGTTCTTTTTGAAATAGTAGACATCAATCATAAGTCTAGAAAGACAAATTCATTCACATTTAGTTAAAAGAATATTACAAAAAAAAAAAAAAAAAAAAAAAAAAACTCAAGAGTTTAAAATTAGATAAACTAAAAATATTATGTCCAATTATTTTCAATCATTTTTTACTAGACTTTCATCAATTAATTAAAAAAGAAAAATGAATTTTTTATTTTCTAGCTACAATGCTACCATTCTTGAATGAATGTATTGCATTAGCTAATTGTATGGTTGATATTGTTGTACATGGCAAAGCAACATCTAATCTTGTACAAGATATTGATCAAGGTGTCATGTTAGCTGATAATTGTCGTGATGTAACTCTTCTGTGTATTGATCTTTATTCAAATTATCAAACACGTTCGTAATCGAACATATTCAAATTTCATAATAATTCTTTCATATTCTAGCATCAACATCTATTGATTACAATAAACAATCGAATGACTTATTACGTCGTTTTAATTCACTTATTGATAAAACAACAACACTTTTACCTAAAGTATTTATATTTATTTATTTATCGAGAAGACAACAGCAGACTTCAATATACAGAATGAATCATAAATAGTACGACGACAAAAAATTGAAATACTTCTGCTTTGGTTCGCTCGAATAGACTGATTTAAAGTTTTTCGTTCGTAGGAATAGCACAAACAAATACTATTGTCAAGTAAGAAAAATACGCATGAAGCGTTTCATAGATAATTTTCAGTTGTCATCTAAGAGAATAATCTTTAGGAAGTCAAAAGGAACTTTATGAATGATACTATATTGATGCATATAGAGCAAGTTTTCAGAACGAGTCAGTTTAGTCCTTTGACGACGTTTTTTTTAAAACTTGGCATGAAGTTTATATGCCAAGAAGCACAGTGGAATTCGTGAAGGATCATTAAATTTCAAAAGATTCTTGGATTCTCTAATCAAGTAGAACAGCGCTAAGTCTTATGGAATCATGCAACTCATTCCATGGGGAACTTTGGAACTCTACATCATAATATAAATCTCATAAAATCTAACATCTGATGATCTCTAATATTAAGATTTAAGTAATAACCGCGGCGATATTGAACAATAATGACTTACGGATTCTATGTAACTTTTACGGAAGTCTGTTTGACTTTGTATTGTTCTAAAAGATATTAAGTGTAGAGATTCCATAGATTCTCGACTACTTTCGAATCCAAAAATTCTCTTGTTACCTCCTGATATGCATGCGTAATAGTACTGTACGATGCTACTATGTGATAATAATCATATACGGGACGGAGAGAATATCTTTATGACCTAGTGAAGATGAAACATCATACAAGTTAGAATCTTTGCAAAAACTCAAAATGTATAAATAAATTTTCCCTTAGCAAATGGTTAAATGCTGAAAATCATGCTCCATATGTAAAACGCACAATTGTAGTTCATTGGGTACCAAGGCATGAATTTCTTTTCAAAAATCGAAATTTCATATTTGAAATTTCGGTGTTTTAAAACCGTTGACTTTAAAACTTACTAATTTTGAAAATTTACTCTATGTGCATGCAGTATCATCTATGAAGTTCATTTTGATTTGTTTCTATTATTTTGTTCAATGACAACTAAACATTATCGAAAAAACACTTCACATGTAGTCTTCTTACTTCATAATAGGTGAAATTTCTTTAGTGAAGCTAAAAATAGAATTCAGCAGTAGTATGAAAAAATTGACCAAAAAATCAGTTCATTCGAGAGTATTAAAGCAGAAATAATACAATTTTTTTGTCATAGTGATATTTATGACTCACCCTGTATATTAAAAGCTATATCTCAACAGACTCCTTAAAGCTGCTTCCTCCTCGCTATTAATAATCATTAAAAAAATACAATAATATTCATTTATATTTTATGCTAATTAAAGGTATCTGATATAAGTAAAGAAGAATTAGGTGATCTTGTTGAAAAAGAACTTCAATTAACTCATGAAACAATTGATGAAGCTGTTCGACTACTTGAAGTATTAAGAAATCAAAATATAAAATAATATATCCTAATAATTCTATTGCATTTCTAGGCAATGATGACGAAATCTCGTGAACAGGATACCGGTATTAAATGTGAAGTTAATGGACAAATACTTGATTCATGTGGCAAATTAATGCAAACAATCAAAATTTTAATAATTAAAGCACGAGATCTTCAAAAAGAAATTGTTGCACAAGGACGAGTAAACAGTTTTTTGTTCGAAACAAAATTTCCTTGTTTTTAATTTTTTTCTAACAATAGGGCACCGCAAGTGCTCGTGAATTTTATACAAAAAATCATAAATGGACAGAAGGTCTTGTTTCAGCAGCTAAAAATGTTGGTGTAAATGCAAAAGTTTTAATGTAAGTCATTAGTCTAATATGTGTTTTCTTTTCTTAGTAAAATTAATTATAGATTTTCTTTATATATTGAAATAGTAAAAAAACATATTGTTTTCTTGATGATAACAACACTGATCTGTGCGTTCAAATAAATTGCTGTGTTCTTTTTTCCATTTAGAGTGTGTGCGTGTTTAAATGAGAATATCGCATGTAATGAAGAGTTTAAATATTTATTTTCGGGACCTTTTGTTTTTTTTTACCATCAGGGGATAAATTAGAAAATATACATACACCTGGTTCTTTTTTTTTTATAAATATCAGTATGATTTGCACGAGCATGTTTGTACCCTTCCTTTTCATTGAAAAACAAAAGCAAATATTGATTTAAAAAGAATAATAAATGATTATTGTTACGCGTTATTTTTTTTAGTGACTCAGCTGATCGTTTATTGGGTGGTAATGGTAAATTTGAAGAAATTATTGCTTGTTCACAAGAAATAGCTGCAGCAACAGCACAACTTGTTGCAGCATCAAATGTAGAAAAGAAAAACAAAACGTTTTATTGAAAAATTTTATTTAATATATTAAATTTTTCATAAATAGGTTAAAGCTGATCGTGAATCGAAAAATCGTGAAGCACTTTCACAAGCATCCAAAGCAGTTAATGCATCAACTGCACAAGTTGTTGCTACAGCTAAAAATTGTTCTTCGATTATTGACGAAAAGAGTAAGATAATTATTATCTCACTTTCAATAAGACATAAAATCAATGTCAACATTGAACTTTATCATCATCGAAAAGAAAAATATTTGATTAAGTCATCTTAAAAAGCACAATTATTGAATGGTTTTTAAAATTTCTAACGACAAAATGCTTCCGAATAGTATTCTTGATATAAAACAGAGTTTATGATTAGAACAAATATTATATAGATATATATGATTAATGCAAGAGTAGACGCTTATAATATCAATAAAAATATGATAAGAAGATACAACGTGTTGAGAGATCGTCTGAGTTTTTTTTTGATATATTCTTGAATAATATTTACTGATAGGCCATTTCTTACTTCATCGACCACATTTTCTATTTAAGCATAGTATATTGAATTATGTCAATGACTTGACTATATTTATTATTTTAACGCTGCTGACGAGGGAATCTCTCCAGGCATCAAATTGCTTTTCGACTGAGACGATGTTTACTTGATGAGTAATAGAAATGCCTGGAATGACTTAGTTTTCCGAGCTTTCGTTCTCGAGATATCGAAATGTTACTCGGATTGTTCAACAAAAAGCTGTAGTGTCTCATTGAAAATCGATTCTCGACTTCAAAATTTGCTCGAGAAAAGTTCTTGATGAGATTAGCTGATCGTACAACTAACTATTTTCTTTCGATAGATGTAAATATCTAAACAAAATTTGCTACTACACATGAAAGAATTCTGAATATTTCATCATATCCTGAGATATGAAATACTAGAAAAGTTACAACTGGTCCAATGAACTAATCTCATTGAGAACTTTGTTTCTGCAAAGTTTGAAGTTGAAACTTGAAAGTTGATTTTTCATGTGACGTGAGGGTAATAGAATTTGACAATACTCAAAAAAATGGAACTGAGAATCGAATCGGAACTGTTGAAGTTGAAAGTTCTTTAACTGATAACTACAGTCATTGAGAGTATTGGTGTGAATGTGAGAGAAGAGACTATTAGCAATCATGCCTGCATCCGTTTCAAAGTCTTGCTTTTTTATTTTATCGTTTGAAGAAATTAATTTTTCAATAAAATAATAAATATTAACAAGTTCGAAAAATACAAGATAGAAATTTCTTAAAAAACTGATTAATTATTTGATATACTATCAATAGGCCACCGGTTTTCAAGACACTTTTTCCACGAACCGAAATCGGAATCGCGCTTCCGATTTCGGTTGCGGGTATTTATTTTTTCAACCACAGGACTCTGCCTGAGGGAGACTTCAGGTTATTGTTGAAAAATCTAGTAAAACTTCGATATCTGAAAAGTGAAGATCCGAAAAACCAAACCACTCTAGATCTTTTTATTAGTCATTAGTACTCATAAAATGGACATCGTCTCGGTTGAAAAGTTATTTGACACCTCGAGAGGTTACCTCATAAGTAGCATTAAAATAATGAGTATAGTCAATTCATTGACATAATTCAATATTCTATGCTTAGCTACAGAGTGCGGCCAATGAAATATGAAATGACCTATCAATAAATATTATTCAAGAATATCTCCAAAAGAACTCAGATGGTCTATTAACAGATATATGTATACCTATATAAATTTTTTTCTAATCAGAAACTATATTTTATATAAAAAATACGATTTACAAGCATTTTGTCATTGTTAAAAAGTTAGATAAAGTTCATTATTACAGTAAGAAAGTTTCTAACTAAGTATCTGTGATTGGTTGCACTTTCCTTCTTTACTACTATCATTCAATGTTGAAAACTATCTTCAATATCTAAAACAATATGCTTATTTTCAGGTACAATGGACTTTAGTTCATTGAGTCTTCATCAAACAAAACGAAAAGAAATGGATGCTCAAGTTAAAGTTCTTGAATTAGAAAAAGCATTAGAACAAGCTAAACAACAATTATATAAATTACGAAAGCAACACTATCAAATGGCTGGTGAAGATGCTGGATGGGATCGAAGTGTATGTAATATTTTTTTTTGAATCTTTAATTTTATAGAGAGATAATAAAAATGAAAATAAAAATTAATTGTTTATCTAACAATCATCATCGTTTATAGGCAATCACCAATTTGGTAACAAGAAGCTCTTTTTGCTTTTTTCTTTCAATCCTTTCTCTCAAATAACTAATACCAAAGAAATGCAGTGATTTTTTAATACTCTTTCTTTTCCTGCTTGCCGTATGAGAATTGTTTTTATATTTGCTCATTGTATTTTTTTTTCTTGATAGACATTTATTCTAAAAAACTGATATTCTTTTAGGATGCAGCAAACAATACTCATACTTAAAATACAGCAATATTATCAACAATAATAGTTATGTATGTTATAGTTTCATGCATGACTCCTTCCATGAGAAATTCATTCTATAATTATACTCATCAACCAAAATGTGTCTTAAACAGTGACGTATTGTGCATTTCCACCATAATTGGTTTTTTCTCTAATTAGAAAGTGATTTGTTCCTTTTTGTGTGCTGCTTGTGAAATTGTATTTAACATATCTTGTTATATGTGTATAATATCTGTAAATGTCATGTAGATGGGGCGACAGCGATGGTTTATATCATTGAGTGGTGTAGATTGTCATTCTCTCTTTCTTTCTCTCCCTCTCTCTCTGTTTTTTCTCTTTTTGCTTTTCACTTCAAGTTTATCGAATACGTTTTTCTATTTTAAGTACGATTAGTTTATACTTGAGAAGAAAAAGTCGAGATAAACTAACATCTTCTTTTATAATTTATGATATTCGTTTTCTTCTTTTCTTTTAATTTAATGTACTATTTTTCGTGTTTCTTCTTTTTAACTCTCCGCTTTCTTTTTTTTTCAAATGTTATTTGGTGGAATGAAAAAAAGAGCGTGCATACAACGAAGAGTTTATATTATGAACGATTTATGAATAAGAAAAATTTCAATAAAGAGATTATGCTTCGAAGTTTGTTCAAAAACTAATGATTACAATGGATGAATTTATATGTATATAATTGATATCATCTCACGAGAGAAGGTCAGCAGATATGTCCCTGGAATTTCAAAATTAAAACTATGTAGATTTGCCAAGTCAAGTGCTCTGATCTCAAGACTAAAAATATTAACGATCGAGATTGCTTCGATGAAGAGGTGACAGATAAAAAACATTTTTTGACTATACTCTGAGGAGGACTAGGGATAAATTTTTCGACGAAAAAAGAAATTCGCAAAAAGAGATTGAGACACTCATAAGTCGACGCAGTTTTCGATGCTGATTTTAAATATGTTATTAGGTTTGACTCAAACAATATTTTTTCTGATCAAAATCTGCTGAATACTTATCAAAAAGATACAAAAGCATTACTTGAGATTAGTTTGCTAGGATCTTATCAAGTGGTCAGTGTTTTCGGAATTTGTAATATTTCAAAAGCGCTATTGATCGGTATATAACAATTTACATGAGCCAAATGATGTGGATCTCTAGTGGTCGGCAAGACAATAACAAGAACCGAATTTTTAACTAAACCCCTCCCCAGAATATAAGGCCACCCCAGGAAAAAAAACTCACAAGGCATAATAGAAGGCCATGGGTTTCCAGAAACTTTTTTTAGAAGTCCAGTGGATTTTTATATTTTAGTACTTAAAATATCGGTTTTTTAGTAAAAAACCAAGGTTTTGTAACTAAAATTACTTTTTTTCTAGTAAGAAAACTGGTTTTACGGAACTTGACTGCTAAAAGTGCCTTTTTGAACGGTAGAAAAATTTTCCAACAACCCCTGGCTTTTTGGGTAAATCTTAGCAAAAAATAGTCCACAATAGAAGGCCTCTTTGCAGAAGCGATGTGAATTTCCATAATAGAAGGCCATGGTCTTTTATTCTAGGGGGGGAGTTTAGTCTACCACTGACTGCCAACGAAGTGACGGATAGAAGACATCAATAAATTTTTTTCGACAGATTTGTTTTCAAAGGATTCAATTTAGAGTTGAATAATCTATTTGATGAAACTATCTCGAAATGAAGGTGATGTTACTGTGCATAGATATCAGCGAGGTATCTCATGGTTTCGACAATGATGAGCTATGGATAGTATTTCAGGTCATTACTATCATCCTAAATATAATCAAATCAATTTGAAACTGTGACCAAACGACTCAGCATAAAATTCCACATCGAAGCATACGTGAATATTAACAATTTGAGAATGAATTGATTTTGACCACTTACGCATCTCCATTCTTAATCGGTGTCTTCTATCCGTCACTATTTTGGCAAACAGTGGTACTGCTTATTGTCTTGCCGACCGTTAGAGATCTACGTCCTTGGGTTCATGTAAATCTTTATATATCAATTGATAGTATTTTGAAAAGGTTACACGCCCTGAAAACAGTGGTCACTTAAATAGTTTCTACTAACCTATTCTAAAGGCATGATTTTATACCTTTTTTATTAATATTCAGCAGATTTCAGTCAGAAAAAAAATGAATTAAGTCAAAATTAATAACATATTTAATATCGGCACCGAAAGCTGTATCGACTTATGAATGTTTCATTTTTTTTTGCGAGCTTTTTCGTTGAAAAGTTCATCTCTGGTTCTCTGCAGATTCTAGTCAAAAAATGTTTTAACTGTAATCTTTTTATCGGAGAAGTCTCAGGTGTTAATTCTTTTAGACATGGCAAACTCATATATTTTTTGTTGAAATTCGTAGGATATATCTGAAGACATTTCCTTGTCAGATTAAGTCGATTTATATGATGTTGACGTCCAGCACTGTGTATAATGAAAAATTTGCAGAATGTAGCTTTTTCCCAAGGAAAGAGATAGCTTTCTATTTGAAATCAAAAACTGTCATTCTATGAGAATAGAACGAAATAGGCATTTAAATCATCTAATTGCGAAACCTTTTAGCTACTACTCTTAGTTACTTAGGGTTATCCAAAAGTAAAGGCGGAGGTACCTTTTTTTCTTATAAAAAGTTTGAAAAACTTTTTTCCTTATTATGAACAGATAGAACGTCTTTCACTCTATTTTTATATGCTATTTGATCACTATTCAACTAATATCATAATAATAAAATTTCGACAAGAACTGTTTTTGTTGAATACTAGCTGGTAGCATTTAGATCATAATGTGTGTGGCATAAAAAATGTGGCACTTTTGCATTTCATTTTATCATCACATAATACGTTGTATTGAAAAACAAAATATACCACAAGATGCAGCGTGAACAGTTCTACAATTTATAAAGGACCGTTTATTTTATAGTTGCACTTTTTGTTTTCAAAGCGGACAAAACTCTGAGCTACTAAATTTCGACGTTGCGAAAACGAGATTGTTTATTTGGTAAAAGACGAACTCGTTTTTTTTCTATCTAATCTTTTTATAATTGTTCTTTGTAAATTGTAGAGCTTTTCATGCTGCATCTTATAGTGTATTTTGTTTTTTTAATATAACGTATTATGTGATGATGAAGTGGAATGCAAAAGTGCCACACCCATTATGATCTAAATGCTACCAGCTAGTTTTCAACAAAAACAGTTCTTGTCGAAATTTTATTATTATGATATTAGTTGAATAATGATCAAATAGCATAGAAAAATAGAGTGAAAGACGTTCTATCTGTTTATAAATAGGAAAAAAGTTTTTCAAGCTTTCTATAAGAAAAAAAGGTATCTTCGCCATTACTTTTGGATAACCCTAAGTATATTAAAAACGCCGTTCTCGAAAATTCCTTTGTTCTGTTTTATGTATGTAATCTCCAAACTTTGCTTTTTTCAACAAAAAAACCTCGAATTCAATTCAATATTACACTGTTGACAAATAGCTTTCAACGTTCTTTCAAGGACTTTGTCATCACTGAGTAATTAAAAGAAAAGTAATAAATACCTATCAACAAAACTTCGTTCCGTTTATTTATTAATCATTGAATTGTAATTTAATTATCAGAACTATTATTTTCGCGGTGATTATCATCTTCGAAAGGACTATTTTTCGGATTATCTCGTAATATAGCATTTTCCTGGGTGTCTGATCTAAAAAGAGAAATTGCTTCTGTTGATGCTGTGAGAGATGCTCCGCCATACGACCAAGGTCGACACTCTTCGCATCAACTTGAGCAGTTGTTCTTTCTAGATTAGACAGGGGGGGGGGGGGGGGTCACCCCCCAACACACGCGGCTCNCTAAGTCATGAATGGAGAAAACGGAAAGATGGTCTGAAATCGGCTCTAACGCATTCCTCTCATTTGTGGGCTAATGCCTTTATGAATCTAGAAAAATTGAATCACCTCTCACAACTCCTAGAGCAGTTCAAAATGAAAAAAAAATCAAACCACGTCAACAAAATCTGACCAATGGGAGCACTTGTTACCAAGAATATCTATCATTCGTACGCACTACATTATCCACGTGTTCATCACGTGTACCACGACGTGTATGAATAGACATGGATTAATAAACTGTCAAATAACCATGTTGTTTCGTATGGGATCCCAACTAGACGATTCATATCGCCCTATATTAGGATTACAAATTTCTGTGACTACAAATCAAGCCATAGAATTAGATATGGAGAAGCGCCAAGCAAAAAGAAAACCGTTTAAAAATACTATGAAAAAAAAACGTAAACGGACGTTATTGATTTCGGTAAATCATGTGATTTGTCCGTATATAAGAGAAGAGTCACAGTCGTCATGCTAAGCCATAGAAATTATCTTATCTTTCGAAACAGCGTCGTAAACAATCATACTTGTGTAACGAGAGCTCTCGAAGAAATCGCAAAAAGTTAGCCATTAAAGTATTTTTTGAGGAAAATTAGCAGGACAGGACGATAGTAGTGCACAGCGGTTTTAAGAACTATCTGGAAACGAAACCAAGAACGCAAAAAAGTGATTTCAATTCCTAGAAAATTTCGTTGGAACAGGGAGATCTGATAACATAACACTAAAGAACATGTATTTGTGTTTTTTAGAAACTTCTATAGACTATTTTTCGAGATTGTTCATACTTATGTATTATGTAAAAGGTAATTTCTTTAAACAGAAAAAGACAAGAAACAACCAAAGTGGCGATGACTACGTTTTTTATTTTGAAAATGTTAAACTTGTTTTCGTTACTTTCAATCTAATATAGCGCATTTTCTTTCGCTCATAAAGAATTGTTCATTTCACTAATGACTAGTCCTTCACCTACTAACGATACTGCGAGATAAGGCGCACAAAAAAAACTTTCAAAGATGGAAATCGTTGTCCACTCCTTTGATATAGTTTTTAGTTTTTGTATTAATGTTAGAATTCTATATGGTGAATCAACTGAAAATCTTCCATCACTGATATGAAACAAGGATGTTAAAATATAGATGACTTGTATATAGTAAAGCTACGAAATCATTTAAAATTTCCAGTGACATACGATGCAGTAGCAGAATATTCGAAAATACAGTATTGGTACTCTGAATTCAGTACATTTACTAGAGTAGATATCAGTAAAAAAATTTTCGCGTGCAATGACTCTTATTCCTGTCACATTCTCTTTTGTTTTACGACTTTGGTTCTAGTTTAGGGTAGGAGAAATCGAAAACTTCGAGTTCCAGTTCAGTTTTTCGTTGCACGATTTTTAGAATCGTCTGGTTTCTGACGGTAGTGGAATACATATTTAACGAATATGCGATGGTCAGATAGAAGTAGACTGATTTTTCGGCTTTCCAGAGCTTCTGTATTGAGAACTAAAGGAGATACTAACACGGCAAACATTCTCAGAGGATTTTATGAAACATAACGAGCTCAATCCGAATTTTCTAAAGCGGAATGAAAAGTTTACAGCCATACAGCCTTCATATTGTAGGCTCTTGCTCGAGTTGTAACAACTTATATTTTTAGCTCTGTTTTGGAAATCATGAAATGACAAGCAGTATTCTTAGGGAATCCTTGAAAAACTCGTAGTTTTCGCTTTGAGTTTGTGTTTGAGAAAATCTGCATCTACTACCATAAAGATAGCACTAGAAAAGTGACAGACACTACGATGACTTAGTCATTCCAAAGTTTTACACCAGATATAGGGTCGATAGAAACCTCGCTAAGAATTACAGTTCGGACAATCTTCTGATAGACCAGGCTCTCCTCCAATCAGGGGCGTACCCAGGGGGGGTGCCCTCAGGTGCCCGGGCACCCCCCTCAGCCAAAAAACGCCTGGAGGGGGGTACGGGTAAAAGATTTTTTCGGGAAACAAAATTAATTTTTCTGCTAGTATCTAGCCCCATAATGAGTCGGGCACCCCTCTCAGAAAATTCCTGGGTACGCCCCTGCCTCCAATCTACCTCTTGTGCTTTCTCTCTTCTATTATCTAAACTTATAAAAAAATATATTTTATTATTGATATTATGATTCTGACGTCATACATATCGTATTTACAGAATCATTTTTACTGCTGTATTATTCAATATTTTATTTGTCATTAGTAATTCAAAAAAAAATGTGGAATTGGAGTACTTGCAAGTATTAACTGAGTATTATCATATGAGGCTGATTTTATCAGATATGGAGTTAGTACCAATGCGAAGTTCACACTGACTGGTTTCATGTACTCAGTCCGCTACTGACACAGGTCATCAAATATCTAGACTGATTCAATCTCTGACAGGCAGAATCCCTCATTAGCTCTGAAAATAACTAAGGTTTCGATGCTAGGATACTGCTTGAAAAGTTACATATATGACGAGTGACAACCTCTCAAAACACAAAGGTACCAACTACAGGTATCCTTAGAAAAGAACATTGTTAGGATTCTATGTTACATCTAAGAAGTTAGCAGTATGACACTGAAGGCTTTTAAAACGTTACAGACACTACACGCTAAAGTTCTAAAAGATGATTGATAGCCTTATCTTGAGCATCAGGGTCATATATGTGAATGTTAAATTGGAAGCGTAAAATGAGAGTGTGAGAATGCTAGTTTTACCAAAGAGTGCTGCCACCATCTTCATCCATGCCTTATTCACACTGACAACGTCACTCTTATCGTCATCGCAGCCTTACATCCTTAGCGAACTCACGTTGTAAATAAATTTTTCTGTTATGGATTCAATTGAATTACGGTTTTGAACAAATATCCGACAGAAAGGACATTTATTTCGAAAGAAAGTAAATGGAATAGAGAAAAGGTTGTTTTGTTCAGTTTCAAATACATACCTAATTGATATGTGTATATGTCGTCGTTAAAAACAAAAATCAATCAAACGACTTTTTTCTTATCCAGAGGAAGAGCTGTTTTCACTCACGACTTTTTCCTTTCTGTGCAATTAGAATCTCATTTATTTTAAAGGTAGAGAAGAATGAAAAAGTGTTCGTTTCTTCAGAAGACATTCAATGGTAATTTCTTTAAGGAGAGAATCATATTCGTGATCTGCTTCATCTGTTTTCTTTGCAATGTATCGTTCAGAAGAAAGCTCACGATAAGACTGATCAAACTCATATAGAGTACATGAGTGAGATTATGAGTATTACTAAGATTGCTGAAATTATTCTCACCGGTACCTAACTCATGTCGATAACATCACTTTAACCGTCATCACATGCTAACATCCTCAAACAATCTTCATCGAGCATAAATTTCTCTATTGTGGGTTGGATCAAATTACAATTCAGACAAATATTTGGCAAAAGGAATATTAATTTTGAAAGAAAGTATACTGAGTAAAGAAGAAAAAAAAGGTTGTTCTCCTGTTTCGAATACACAGCCAGCTGATATGTGTACATGTCGTTGTTAAAATAAAAAAATCAATCAAACATTTATTTTTTGTACAGAAGAAGAAACCTTTTCATTGACAGTTTTTCCTCTTCTGTATGGACTAAGATCTAACTTGCTGTAAGAATAGAAAAGAATGAAAAAAAGTTCCATCTCTTCGAAAAGATACTCAATGGTAAGTTTTTTAAGAAAAAACATATATATGTCATCTTAATCATCTGTCTTATCTACGTTGTATCATTCAGAAGAAAATTTATCATAAGACTGATCAATCAATCCACACCTACATTCCGATTTATTTGTAGAAGCCGATAGTGAAAAATACACCTAATATTGATTGGCTCAATCAAACGACTTTTGTCTGAGAGACAGTTTACCAAAAGGGGTAGTAGCTGCAGAGTTAGAATCAGTTGAAATTCTTGACTTAGATAGCAATAAGCCGATGAAAATTCGGTCGGTTGTGTTACAAAATTCAACAGACGAAAAAACATAATTCGTGTAATATATAAAATAATCAAATTAATAGTTCTTTTGAGAAACAGTTTATTATACAGCTGTACGAAGACACACAAAATGTTACTTGTGTAGTTCTTGAAGTATCTAATAGTAACAACTTTCATTATAGTCTGTAGCGTTCCATATACGCTGATATTAAGAACAAAGAAAGAACTCTCTCGAAGTTTTTCATCTAGTGGCTCACAACAAGTGATATTGAACAACATCTAAGCTTTGCTCTGCCTGGCTTTATTCAATAGAGAAATGACTTCTTTACTTGAATTGATAAAAATGTTGTTTTCTTATTGAAATCTTCATTTAACACATATGCAAAGCTTCTCAATTATAATAATTCTTAGTCATATGAATGTTAGGTACAGTGACTTGTCTTTTATTAGTTGTATATTTATAATAGTTTAGACAGCCTACGTCTAAAGTTATTCATGCGGCGAATATGAAACAAAAGTATATTCACTACAACACTGTTCTACTCACTGTTGACGACGTGTTGTCGTTGAACATATTTTATGATTTTCAAATTACTTTATAAAAAATATTTCTTATCTTGATATCATATAGACAATTGCTTCCAACCTTGTATACTTTAAAGACTTGATTTTTATTTCGCATTATCTCTATTAAAACACACACACCCTTGGACAAAAATCTTCCCTCTCTTTGATCATTTTTTTTTCGTATAGAACGTCTTTGATTTCAAGTGAATTTTAGTGACAAGGATGGCTTAAGTACTTTATTATAATATAGTGTATGATTGTTAGCAATTTACTTCAATGAAGAACACACGTCTTCCAATAGAGTTGAGCAACACAACAGATGAATTGATGGAGAAAATCTTTTACGACTAAGTTATTTCTTTTCTTATATCTGCTAACTGTTTTACCGAATTGAATCATTAAAATATCTTCATCGCTGATGCGAATCACTTTCGAGAATACGGTATACTCGATTATAGAAATAGATATAAAGTAAAACAAGTGAAACATTCAGAAAATATCACAAAAAGAGATAGCCTAACGATGAAATATTTAATCAGCCAACTGATTTGTATTGTTAGCCGATTGTATTGAATGATGTACATTCTTCATTAAAGCAGGTCGTAATCAATCATACACTACACTAAAATACAGTATTTAAATCATAAATGAGGGGAGGATGCTTTTGTCTAAGGATCTATATAAAATTATCGCTAGTACAAATTCAAGTACTAGTTTTAAAAAAAAAAGAAAGTTTATTTATTGAGGACGAATAATTTTTAAACGTTCATGTGAAGTGTCATGCAAACTAAGAAATTCACATTTTTCACATAAATTTGTTTTGCATGTCATGCATTGATAACGTATACCAACGATAGGAGATACAAAACATGATGAGCACAGACTATTCAAATGAATCAGTTCACTTGTGTTCTGAAGATAAATTGATGATGCATATACACTTGAATCACGAACACACATTAATGGATGCTTTGAATCATGTTGATGATTTGTGGCTGATTGACAATTTTCACAAAAATCTACATTTGGACAAAACATACATCTATATCTATCACCAACTATTGGTGACATCAAACATCGATCGCATGTTATATTTATATGTTGAATAATAGATTGTGTTTGTTGTTTACCAGTAATTAATTGATTTTGAAGACGACGACATTCATCTTTACTTTTTTCTAGTTCATCTTTAAGTTTTTCTAAATTGGAATCACCAAATTCAATATGACCAACATCAACTATTTGATTAAAGTCAGTTAATCGTACAGTTTTAATTTGTTTTTCTTCATTTATTGAACCAAAGTATTTATAAATATATACTAAAACTGTTGTAACACCTACAAGTGTATGTTGAGCATTACTTATATATGTTAAACTAATTGAATATATTCCATTAATTGCTTTACGAAGTAAATATTCAATTGGCTGACCAGATCGAAAACCATAATTTGTCACATATCCACCAATATCTGTTCGATATGAATCGTAACTATCACATATTTGACCAGTTGGTTCTTTAATTGAAAGTTTAACTAATGTATCAGCAGTATCCCATTGAACAACAATTCGAATATCAACAGGTAAATGACGTATCAGACGACTATCAATTTGAAGTGTCATTTTATTCATTAAAACTAAAAGTCGATTTAAATCAAGTAAAACAATTGTTTGAATTGTTGAAAATCTTTCATCCCATATTTGAGTGAGAATTTGTTTGAAATATTGTAATGCTTCATCATATTGACCAAGTTCAATAAGAACAACAGCTAAATCACGTAATGATTGTGGTTCATCAGAACGTAAAGAATAAATTTTTCGAAAAATACTTAAAGCAAGACTCCATTGTTTTAATTCCATTAATTTATATCCAACAGTTCGATATAATTGTGGTGCTTCTAATTCTAACTCTAAAATATTTGTTAATATACGTAAACCATATTCAATTGATTTCTTATCTGCTATTTGAATATTTTCTTGTTGTTGGTTAAATTTATCTAATATAGATGAAAATGATGTTGGCGAAAAAAAATAAGATGCAACATCAAAATAAAATGAAGGTGATTGACGATTTAATATTCGTTCATTAAGATAAATTGAATATGCATTTATTCGATTATTTGAAGAAGATATTCGTGTTGTATATGATAATTGAGGATTGTTTTCATTAAGAACAATCGTTGACGTTTCTTCTGTTTTAGATGATAACGATTCATTTAATACATTTATTGCAGTATTTATTTGTGACGATGATGTAGAAAAACCAAATCCTTGCAAAGATGATGGAGTAGAAGTTGATGGAAAAGCCATTGAATTCAAACTATAAGTTGCACTAGTCTTCAATGGAGAAAACTGCATTCCGGTCGGAGCAGTTGTTGTTGTAGCACTTCCAAAACCAAAAGAATTAGACGACATGATAGGGACGACATTTGAGGGTGATGTTCCAAAGAAGCATGTTTGTTGTACTTTTCGTAAATAAGCTCGATGACGATCAATATCAGTAATAACTTGATCGTACCATTGACATGTTTGATTCCATTTTTGTATTAATTCAGATATGTTATTTGTTTTTTTATTATTCTCTAGTGTCTGATGTTGCATATATTGATTATAAAGATATGTACGTGATTTAGCTGGGCATACACGATATTGAAGATGTTGTTGAAGTGTTTCAAGTACTAATAATGATGTAAATTGACTAACTAATGAATATTCTAATCCAAGTGATAGTATATCAGATTTATATTTATCTTTAAATGCATTTAATTCATTTAATTTCTGTTGTGCCCATAAACGACGAATTAAACCAAACGAGTTTTGTTCACCGAATGACATATCAAGTGAAATTGGTAAACGAGAAGTTTGATTATTCAATGAAAATTCAAGTTCAAATTGAATTGAATTTGGTAATGGCATTGGAATTTGTCCCACCAAGAGAAATCGATCTAAATTTAATGGAATTGATATTGAATTACTTGGATATATTTGTTTTACAGTTGAAGTTGAATCAAGTTTCACATATTTAATTTGAATAGTTTCAATAATATTTATTAAATCATGTGGATTTAATTCTAATGTTTCATGATTTAAATAACCTCCACCATATTCATTATATTGTGTTAAATAACGAATAAAATCAATATCATACGGTTCATGAAGATAATTACCATTAAATATCCATATAGGTGCTTTAAAATTTGAATATAAATTTTCTGTAAATGAATCATTATTTATTGTTGATATACAATCACTAAAAAGAAAATAATAATTAATCGATTGTATTAAATTAATTGATGATAATTGTGATAAATTTGTTGCACCATCATATGGTAAATCTTGAAAAATTTCGATAAATTTATTCCAATTATTAACTTGAAGTTGAAATAATATTTGTTCATCCATATCATTTCGAAATATTATAATATATATTTCAATTTTATTATAACGTGGTAACCAGATATCAAAGATTTTTTTTAATGCATTTAATTCTAATGTACGATTTTCTTTTGAATTTGAACGACTTAAACTTGCATCCCATAGAATACAAATTCTTTTCGATGGAATATCAAGTTGATCAGTTCTTTGTTGATTCGATGTTGGTAAAGCACAACTAATAGCAAAATATGCGCCAACATTTGAATCTTTTTCAATAGCACTTATGACTGGATTAAGTGAATCAGATAATATATATGAGAGTGTTCGTTCAGTATTAACAGATGGTTCAACATTAGTTAAATGCCATTCAGCAGTATATTGTCCATTTCCATTATCAATAAATGACGGATAACTATCTATTGGTTGATTAGAATCTATTAAAAACTTTGGTTTTGTTATTGCTTGACCAGAACATGTAAGAACAATATCTAAACTTTCAAGTCGAGTTTGAAATTGAATTGGTATTTGATATAGAAAACCATTTTTATTATTATCTGTTATTGCTTGATCTTGATATATAACCCGAACAGTACGTGTTTTTTGTGGTTCAATTGGATAGACACGAGTACGAAATATATTGCCTGTAACTAATTCAACAAAACCTGGATCAATTCTTTTTCGTACTTCTTTTTCAAATATTATACGAGCAGCTTGTTTTTCAACAACTACTCCATCGACAATAACACCATCAATATCAAGACCTAATTAAATAGACAAAAAACTTAGATTAGCAGAAAAAATATATAAACAACCAAAGAATAATTTACCATAACCACAAATAGTTGCTCTTTCTGGTAATGTAAATTCGAAAGCACCTTCAAGAATGATATTATGTGTGTTTTTAAATGTCATTGTTGTAGCTACTTGATGAATAAATGGAAAATTTCCATTAACTTTTTGTTCAATTTGTAAACGAACAAGTTGAAGTGGTGTTGATGCTCTATCACTTAATTTATCTGGATGGCGACGACCAAATATCATAGGAAATATTGTACGATTTGTTGTTGCTGTCATGATGTATTATACACAAAAAGATTTCAAACTTTTCGAGTTCTGTATTTTATTATGCGCTCTACAGACAGAACAATAAAAAATAGAAACATTACAGTCAATGGTGAAAGCACACCATAGAGGTTTTATATTTACTCAATATTATGAAAAATAATTGTATGATTGCAAATAAATATAGACAATTGTGCAAGATACGTAGGTCTGACCCAAAGTTCCCAGATTGCTATTGGCAATTTTATAAACCAATTAATATCGAAGAGTGTTGTGTATGGATAAATAGTGGACTGTCTTATCTATAATCGTATATATAGTAAATCTCTTTTGGACTTACGAGGGAACGTTCCCAGGTGACAAATCGCTTTTGGGCCGAGTAAGTGCGCAAACGATAGACCTCAGTGAGTTATTAAATTCTCTAGAATGGTTTGGTTTTCCAGCCTTCTGCTGTCGAGTTATGGATCTTTTACTCGATTTTGGCCTATGGGCATAGGATTCTTCTGAGAACTGAATGATCGAATTTCAAACTGAAATTTTCTCCATATATAGGCCCTATAAGTACTAGAAATTCCCTAAAGTTTGAGCCAAAATGGACGTACCTTTATCGAGATATTCACATTAAAAAAGAACACCTGTTTTGAACTGTGTTTCATAATAGGAGCATTTTCATGACAAGTTGATATCTCGATAAAGATACGTTCATTTTGGTTCAAACTTTGGGAAGTTTCTAGTACTTATAAGGCCTATATATGGAGAAAATTTCAGTTTGAAATTCGATCATTCAGTTCTCAGAAGAATCCTATGCCCATAGGCCAAAATCGAGTAAAAGATCCATAACTCGACAGCAGAAGGCTGGAAAACCAAACCATTCTAGAGAATTTAATAACTCACTGAGGTCTATCGTTTGCGAACATACTCGACCCAAAAGCGATTTGACACCTGGGAGTGTTCCCTCGTTAGTTATCGTATTTTTTTCGATGAACTTTAATTCGAACTAAAAAAAATTTTCAAAAATGGATAATGAACACAATCGATATTATATAAAAATTCGAACTATTTTGGGGATAAATCCAAAGACGATTCACGAAGAACTTGCAACAGCTTTGGGATCCAAGGCTCCATCATATCCAACAGTTGCAGAATAGGCAAAGCGTTTCCGCGGAGGAAGAGAAGATGTAAATGATGATCCTCGATCTGGTCGTCCAGTATCCGAGCTGACAGATGAAAATATTGAGCTAGTGCGAGAGGTTATCAGCAATGATCCACATTTAACTTATGATGATATTATAGTTGAGACATTTCTCTTTCATGGTACAATAGAACGAATTATCCACGATTATCTTAAGATGAAAAAAATGACATCACGTTGGGTACCCCATCAATTGACTGATGAATAAAAGCAAGAACGTGTTAAACTTTGTCGTGAAAATTTGGCGAAATTCCGTGATGGTTCTTGGCGATTATGTGATATTATAACAGGTAATGAGACGTGGATTTACCATAGGTAGATTCATCGCAAGTCAACAAATGCAAGCTGGGTTGGCGAAGATGAATCACCAACTACTATTGTTCGTCGAGGTAAATTTGAACCAAAAAATTTATTTTCTATTATCTTTAAATCAAATGGTCCTGTTCTTATACATGCTGTTGACGAAGGCAAGACTATAGATCACAACTATTATATTGAAAATTGCCTCAAGCCTGTCGTGAAGGGAATATGGAAACAAAGAAAGTCAGCAGGTACAAAAGGTATAAAATTGCTCCAAGACAATGGTCGACCCCATATTCATTCCGATATTATTAATTATTTAACAGAAGAAGATATTATTATAATGTCGCATCCACCATATTCACCTGACCTTGCACCATGTGATTATTGGCTAAATGATTACATCAAACGTAATTTAACTGATCAACCAGATGAAAAACCATTGGCTCGTGCGGTATCCAAGGTGATGAAAAAAATTCCGAAAGAAGAATTTGAAAAAACTTTTGACAAACTATTAGAAAGGATGGAACTTTGTATAAATAATCATGGTGACTATTCTGAACATTTAATAAAATAAAACTCGAACTTTCTCTTTGTCTTTATATTTTTTTTTAATAATCTGGGAACTTTTGGTCAGACCTAAGTGAATTGAAATAAATAATGAAGTCACTTTTGATCGACAATGAAAAACTTAAATTTTCTAATAATGATGTATTCAGTAATTAACATTCATTTAAGGAATGACAGAGAAAAGATTTAACGATAATGTATTTTTGATGTTTTTTTTGATAATGTTAACCAATCAGCTCAAATTCAAATTGTGATTTTAATAGTCAACGGAGTTTTAGTATCTATTGCAATCTATAGCAAGATTTCATAGATGAACTATGATCGCGGGGCTTATGAAAAACCGGAAGTGGTCGTTTTAAAGTTTTAGAAGATTTTGTCGAAGCTATGCCACTTTAAAGAGAACAAAATAAGGGGTCACTGCATTTTCTACAACTCTTCCTCTAAAAGTTAAAACTATCACAAAAACCGAAAAAAGAGACGTTTTTTACTCAAGTTTTTTTTGTATATTTGTTTTTTTTTTACAGTTTTCATGATACTTGCAATTCTTCAAGGGAACGTCGTAGCAAATGCAAAAAGCTCTTATTCTGTTCAGAATTTTCTACCCTTTAAGATAGCATAGCTCCAGCAAAGTCTTCTAGTACCTGAACACTACTGCGCCTGCTCTGTAAGAAACTTCGTCAGTATAGTTTAACACTGAAATCTTGCTATTGAATGCATTAGCTAGAAAACTGTATTGACTATTAATACCACTATTTGGATTTGAGCTAATTGCTTAACATTATCAAAAAGAAACGTCATTATTAGCTCGTAACCGAAGAATATCTGCGTAATGTCCTTATACACAGTAATACACACTCACTTATATAAGCATTTTGAAGGCAAGAATAAAAGAAAGAGAAACAAACAATAACAACAAAAGAAAAAAAGAGAGAGAGAGAGAGAAAGATTGGATCGAGGGCCTTTGATAGTGGTTGTTACAGGCATGTTACTCCATGCTTTCACATCTCTTCTCGTCGTTCATATTACTTATTTCTATACACATTCTTTCTTTTTCCTCTGCTTTTCTCTGTTCACATTCTTTGATACTTTTTCTCATCGTCATGCTTCTTTGTTTGATATTGATTCATTCGAAGTAAAAACAAACCAGTAGAAAGAAGCAAAAAAAGGGGACCCCTAATAGTGATGAAATACATCTCGAACAGTTATTGTTAAACTTTTTTTCCACTAACTTAAATTAGTGTGTATTCTCAAATTCAAATAACTAATTTTTTTATTTAAAGTTCATCATCATTGGATTTAAACTTGAATTCCTATTGAAATATTAAAAAAAGTATATAATAATGGAAATTCGTTCGTAAAATGTTACTCATCAGTAGACCTTATAGCTGGTAAAATACTTTATAAGGTTTAAGCAAAATAGACAGTTTCTTCTTAAAATATTGATTTTTACGCTTTAACGGTAGATATTAAGATACTTCAAAAACCTTTAGGTATATTTATATTTTTAATTTCAGATCGAAATTAAATAATTCTAATTTCCCTTAAAACTTGATTATATTCGCTTTAATTTTCGAAGAATAATCATAATTGTATGAATAGCATTCATTAACAGGAAAATTTTTCGATTTAATCACATTAAGATTTTTCGTTTGTAAAATGATTTCAATGTATGAAATCGTTCTTAAAATATTCTGAAAATTTACAGACGGCATACCATAAGTGATGAAATTGACATTATATTAAAATATAGACAGCTTGAGAAAAAAAACTTGTCCTTTTGTGCCCGTATCACTAACAACACTCAACATATTTGCAGTATATTATCATAAATCAACTGATAATATCAAATGAAGAACTTTAATGGAAGCTATACATTCCTATTTTCACTTGAAGAAAATTTTCGCTTCTATATGAAACCGATATTGACACCCTAATGATTATATTCTATTTTCAGCGATCAGATTTTACCTCAAAATACAGTTACTAGATAGTCGAAATTGTTTCGTGAAAACTGAGAAGAGATTAAAGATCGACTATATCTGAGTAGACCTGAAATTGAGAAAACATCTAAAAACATTGAAGAACATTGAAGAAGTGTGATGTCTTATTGGTAAAATATAAATGGAAACTGGTATGAGTTGCGGTACCATTGAACAAATTATTTTTGATTATGTGAAGCTGAAAACAAACTACTGCCCGCTACATACTCAAGTTTCTGACTGATAATCAACCAGCCGAACTCATTTGGCAAAACTCGAGCAAGAAACATGACGATTATGTAATGTACTGACATGTGACGAGCCATGGTTTTATCATAAATGAATTAAACGGTCTGGACACCAATCGGTGGAACTCTCCCTACTGTGGTTCGATGCAGTGGTTTTGTTTGAAAAATTCTGCTTTACATTTTTTCTGAAACGATCGGTCTCATGCTAATCCATCATACTGAACAAGATCAAGCCGTCCAGCACCAATATTGCATCGATAATTGTCTGGAATTCTTCATCGATGAAATCCGAATAAAAACACCAACATCTGATACGCTTGCCAAAAAATTTCATCACAACTATGTCAAATCGTATGTTCATCAAGATGTTTCAAACTATCTCCAATTGGAAGATATCATAATAATTCGACAACCACCAAATTCTCTGAACCTGCCATCATCTGACTTTTGATTATTCAATCTGATCAAACAGAATCTAATCGATCAAAGTAAGTCACAATACCTGCACCTTGCCGTAATCAAAATCAGTAACACGCTCAACAAAGATGACTATAAAACAAACTTTCGATAAATAACTTGAACTAGCGCAATTGTGTGTAAATAACCAGAAGAACGATTTCGAACATTTGATAAAAAAAAATTTGAACGACTTGTTTTAAAAAATCTCATTACTTTTCGTATATTCTAAGTAGTATCGCTTCAATTTTAAATATCAAACATTTT